GTGTACCCGTCGGCTGGCGGGTTACACTCTTCGGAGAACTTGGAGGAGATGTGATGTCGGCCTTAGGAGAAGCCGACCTTGGGGGCCTCGAGTGGGTATACTTCACTTGGTAGGCGGATAGGTGGCCACGCGGTCGACTAGGTCGAGGGTGAGCTTATAACCAAATTCTTCAGGGGAGATACTCAACCCTGGCCTTTTCCTTCCTTGATGTTTCAGGGGTGTTAACCGCCTGGACTTTACCTTCTCCCGGACCACTAGGGTAGGGAGACCGCTTCCAATAGCGGGCTGAGCTGGGGAGTGCTACTCGGACGAACCCACAGGCCAAATGTATCCTGGGGTTCTATTCGCACTTGGGTGTTACTTACCACACAACTGTCTTCGACGGGGGCCAAAATGTATCCCTTCCCGGAACAGGTGGGTAGACTTACACAAGTTTCTTGTGAGCACGCAGAGGCGTGCTACGTAGATTGAAATTTTAGTTGTATTCAATATAGTCCAATCTTTCAACTCTTTTAATCTATTTTCATCCTGAGACCTGATTCTTGATTCCGCTTGGCTAGAACATCTGGACCTCCGAACCGAGGTCGACCTCAAGTACTGGGTCCGAGAGTTTTTGCCGAAGGGCCAAGGTCTATTGGGGTCCATTAAATAAGTACCAAGGTAAGCCTTCAGGGACCGGGGGGCGAGGGTCCATCAGCCAAAGATCGAGATCTGCCTTTGTGAAAGTCCGAGGTCTACCAATAATAGACCAGGTTCGACCTAGAAGGGCCGGATCTACCTTAGGGAACCGCGGTCCATCGGGCTCACCACGGTTAACTGTTTTGAATGGTAGCTAGCTAGCACGCTTTGACCGTGAATCTTCTCATCAAACGGTCGTTCCCGTCCCTTTTTTAGCGCCTCGTTTCTCTGTTCCTTACCCAACGGTCTCTCTCCTTGGCAAGTCCCTTTCTCTTTGGCCCACTGGTCCTCTGGCTTCCCAGTTCTTGAAACGCTTGACCACAGCCTCCCTCTGTACTTGGTCGACGGTACGGTTGCTTGAGCACGCGCATGTCTTCGACTTTTGCATCTCGTAAGTACTCCTAGCTTGTTTGGCGTTTGATGTCTGTTATCCGACTTGATGTGACTTTAGCTGTTCCTTCCTCTGGGGTAGACCCACCACCTGAAGAGCCGATCTTGCTCACTCCTGCACTCGCTACTGACCCAGAGGTCTAGATTCCCTCCCTACTGCCGATAGGCACTTATCTCCGAGTACCAGGACCAAAAAGGTTTACGACAATTTTGTGGTGAAGGGTTTCAAGAATTGGCAGGCCAGAAGACCGGTGGGTCAAGGAGAAGGGGACCCAACAAGAGGATCAACCGTTAGGTAAGGGGCCGAGAGACGGGGCGCTACAAAAGGGACGTGGGACGACCGTGGGATGAGGAGATTGTACGATTTAAGCGTACTCCATTCAGAAGAGTTAACTACGGTTAGTCTGATGGACCGCGGTTCCCCGAGGTAGATCTCAGCCTTTTTGAGGTTGACCCTAGCCCCTTGTTGGTAGACCCTGGTCCCTCGTTTGTAGACCCTGGTTCGTCGTTGGTAGACCCTAATCTGTCGTTGTGGACTTTGATCCCTCGTTGGCAGACCCTGATCTTTCGTGGTGGACCCTGGTCTTTCGTGGTGGATCGTTGGTAGCCCCTGATCTTTCGTGGCGGACCCTGGTTCTTCGTTGGTAGACCCTGGTCTTTCGTGGTGGACCCTGGTCCCTCGTTGGTAGACCCTAGTCTTTCGTTGTGGACCCTGCTACCTCGTTGGTAGACCCTGATCTTTCGTGGTGTACCCTGGTCTTTCGTGGTCGACCCTGGTTTCTCGTTGGTGGACCCTGGTGAGCCCAGTAGGCGCGGGGCACTCTTTTAAGGAAGAGCTGAGTTCTGTTAAGCTTCTAGAAGGTAGAAGTAAGCAGGGCCTAGTCCCAATGAGATCCGAACTCTCAAAAAAAGGAACGAGTATGCAAGCCAGGCTTGCTAGTCGTCGAAGGGACAGTTGAGGGCTTTGATAAGCCATGAATCATTTTGATCGATTTGGGGGCATCAGGAAATCATGTGCGCCGTGACACCATGGAAGGTAGTCAGAAGTGTGCTGAAGCGCTTAAAGCGCCTGTAAGTAACACAGTCACAGCTCGCGTAGCGACGGGTACGTGTGTGACGGTACCCAAAGTCTCATGGACTTAAATGTAAAGTTCTTGGATTTTAACAGCATGGAACGCTGTTTGGTCTTGGACCTGGATGCGAGGTATGACCTCATTCTAGTCATGGCATGGCTAGAACGTCATAAGCCATGGATTGATTGGAGGTCGAAGACCTTAGGAGCAACGCGCAATGCACCTGGTGGGGCTTTGGAGAGTCATGAACTCAAGGAAGCAAAAGCGCTTTAGGCGCGGATATTGGGCCGAGTCGGTCAATATGTTGAATGTCGGATATCCGACTTTGTAGACACTGCACGTGTCGAGGACGATAGTCCTGGTCGAGGTTTAAGAACTGTCGATAGTATGGTTGAGAACCCACTAAATGGCACATATGACATGTGTCATGAGAATGATGTTACATCACTAAACAACATGAGTGGTGTGAGTGGCTGCGAGATAGGATGCCAGGAAAAGAGTCCAGGTGACCCAAGTGACGAGGTACTGACTCTAGAGGGTCAGGTGAAGTCACAAATGGATGTTGATTCTGAGACAACAAGATGCAAGCACCTCATGACAAGGCATTAACCCAAGAGGGCGGGGTGCAGTCAGTAAACGGAGTAGTATTTGACCTTGAGGCGTGTAGACATGTTGTCGCTATTGCGTCGGATGCTGAGAGCATCAAAAGTAGCGATGATAATATCGTAAGTGACGGTGATAGCGAACAGCTATATACACTTGTCAATGGTTTGAATGGGGATGTTGAAGATCCGGTGGCTCTTAAGGCTACACCCGCAGTAAGTGCTCTGTTAGAGCTGGACGAGTTGTCCTTTGCCAAGTTGGCAGTGCCTTACAGGTAGGTGCCATCGCTGAAGTTGTCGTTACGACCTGAGGAGTTGAACTCCTCATCGCTTTTGGATAAAGCAGTTATTGAAGATCAAGAAGGCGCTGAATACGCGCAATGGATCAAAGATCCTGAAGGATCCATTGGATCCTTACTTTCCTTTGTTGAAGGAGTATGGTTATATTACTCCCACAGAAAATCCCTACGAGGTTACCTCCGGATAGAGGTGTACGTCATGAGATTTACTTGGTTCCAGGAACCAAAATACTGCGTGACGCAACAGTGGCCGCTGCTACAAAAACAATGTGACGTCATTAACGAGTTCTTTCGTGCAAAGCACGCGACTGGTATTGTGCGTGAGAGTCAGTATCCTGACACTACGCCCACGTATCGTATAAGAAAGCCAAGTGAAAGTGTCGAATAGTGCAGGCTTATGATAAGCTGAATTCATCCGCTATCTCGGCTCAAACACCGATCCTCGCAAGTGTGGCGGAGTGAGTTCTCAAAACTGCGTAATGAGACCCCAAGCCACTCACTGTGCCGGGCTACCCGACTGTCGGAGGGGGTACCCCGATGCCGCGTATAGAGTTTCTCTCACCTTGTGTACCCGTCGGCTGGCGGGTTACACTCTTCGGAGGACTTGGAGGAGATGCGATGTCGGCCTTGAGAGAGGTCGACCTTGGGGTGCTTCAAGTGGATATACTTCCTTCGGTGAGTCTGTAGGTGGCCACTCGGTCGACTGGGCATCAATATATATACTTCATTGTAATGAGGTCATTCGGTCATTCATTTTTTGGTATGGAACTACATGAGATGTCTAGTGGCTTGACACCCTTCTGCACGATATCTGCTTATTTTTGTGTCTCATAGGAGCTTCAGGAATTGCTTGATACGTAGTTTTTTATATATTGCACGCCAGCGTTTTGAAAACTATTCACGCAACAATTTTCTACTTTCATCCTCAAGCATCGTCTAGACTTGTGATGACCATTGCTGCGACATGCACTGGGTTGCATCACCTTGCTCTTGATGTCCATGACCAAGTTGCGCATATAAGTGCAGATTCAACGGCCTTGGCGAATATTATGGAGCACAACTCCTGGACAAGAAGTTGTAGAAAAGCGATTGATGTTTGCAAATTTTGACCTTCTACGCAAGTGGCGTCATGAATAGCTCGCCCGCCGCAGCGACTTATTTTCTCTGCAACGGCAGCATCGTGACAAACACCGCTATCGGTCAGAAACGGAGCTGTGGCTACAAGCGGCCGTGCCGTCGGCACTACTGTAGCATCCATTGGCGAGGATATCGATTGCACTTAGACCGGTACAAAGCTTTTGAGCTTGATGATATCGATGTAGACCGTAGCAACAAGAAAAGTGGCAACGCCAGATGTGCTACAACAACTCGAGTTGAGCGGTTCAAAACGGCAAAAAAGGCGCTCTATCTTGGCTTTGTTCTTAAGTCTGGCTAGTTCATGCGTCGGGCAAATGTACTCACGAGTCTTGGCTGTAGATTGATCAAGCACGGCGGGCGGGACCCATCAATGCCTGTTCTGTACACTGAACAGGCATTGATAAAGAAGGTTTGAATGTGTAATGAACGAGCCTACTTTCTTTTTTAGCTACCTTTTGCTATCGTATTCATGTTTTCTATTGCATTGTGAGCATATACCAGTTGAATAGAGAATCAATCTACAAGTGGTCGCACCAGACGAAACCTTTCAAGTAGTTAATATTAATCAGCTTATAATGCTTGAAATAAGGATGTAGCTTCTTTCAACGTGCGTCTTTACCATATGAAATGTGCGATGATTGGTCAATGTTACCAGCGCATAGATGGGACACTGATTAACATGTTCAGACGCTGCAAAACTTTAGACGCAATGTTTCAATCACAATAGCGATATGATGGACGTGATTCTTCCAATGCGATTGACGAGAACAAGTGATTCACTTTCACATTCACCTCATTCCCAATTCATTGTTTATATCAAGATGACCAAGTACCCAAGTTTCAATGACCCTATTACATATGATACTGAATCAATGATCAAAACTAAGTGCCAAGCGAAGAAAAAACAGTGGAACGTCCAACCGTCCGACTTTTCCAAGCTCTGCTCAAACCCAATACGAAGAATTGTCGATAATATCAAAAAGCCCTCGACTTCGACCAAGACTTTGATTCCGCTTTCACTCGGTTTGTCTTACCTTACAATGAAATTTACATCAACCAACAGCTCCAAAGCTCGTAAACTAATTCAACGTTTTGATAACAGGTGACCCGACAGTGTTTGGCAACTTGCATTGCCCTGATGTATTGGTACAGGCCGTTGTTCGTCATACTCGGTTCGTGATTGCAACTTTGTATCTTGAGGAAAGTCGCTTTGTTGCTTATTCAACCTTTGTTTCTGTAGATCAATGCATCACAATGGCTACATTCACTCCGCCGGTTCGGAAGCAGCCCGTGCAGCTATCGCTCAGCGTTTTGGAAATCACAGTGCCCCATTGACAGCAGATGACATTATTATCGCTAGTGGATGCTCTGGTGCCATTGAAATTGCTTTGCAGGGTTTACTAAACCCCGGTGACAATATTCTTCTCCCAAAACCGGGCTTTCCCTTGTACCAAGCACTTTGTGAAGCGCACAAGATTGAATGCAGATTCTACAATCTCATGGTGGGTTCAGAGCAAACAAACTTCATTCTAGCTATGTTTTACACTGACTAGACATGTGATGAATTTATCATTAGCCGGAAAACAATTGGGAGGCTGATCTGGAGCACATGCAGTCCTTGGTTGAGGACAATACAAAGGCTATTTTGGTCAACAACCCATCTAATCCATGCGGCAGTGTCTATTCAAAGGTAAGACGAGTCAACACTCCTGACTGTTTTGCAAGCTAAACTTTAGTCTTTAATGTTGTGCAGACTCACTTGGAGAAAATTCTTGGTTTGGCGGAGCTGAACAAGATTCCCGTCATCGCGGTAAGCCAAATTTCTGTCTTTTGCTTGTTTGCGGGTTTTCACGAGACTAGTGCTTTAGGATGAAATTTATGGCGATATGGTATTCGGAAACAACGCGTTTTATGCCATGGCGACATTGACAAAGACGGTGCCTGTAGTGGCTGTGGGTGGCTTGGCGAAGCAATTCTTGATACCTGGCTGGAGGGTAGGTTGGGTCATGGTGCACGACCGCAATAATGTCCTGAAAGACGTGCGCACTGCGTATTTCAAGTTGTCACAAAATATTCTTGGAGCGAACTCGCTTGTCCAGGTACAACGTTGTCATCACACTGAGGCCGATATTGAAGCAAAGCTAATGTGTCCTGACCAATGTCGTATTAGAGTATAATTCCGGACGTGCTTACGCCGGTTTCGGGAAGTCCTGAAGAGCAATCATTGGTAGACTTCAAGAAGCACTATTTCTCAACTCTGGAGGAAAATGCCAAGTTTACGATCCAAACTCTCATGAGAATACCGGGACTGGAGGTGGTGGTTCCTCAGGGTGCGATGTATGCTATGGTATGTGCAAGTTGCAACAGATTTATGAGATGGTTTGTGAACGCAGGAACTTACCACTTGGTTAATCCGTTGCAACAGGTAAAAATTAGAACCGACATCCTAGCCAAGATCAAGGATGACTTGGACCTTACACAAAAGCTGCTGGATGAAGAATCTGTCTTCGTGTTGCCTGGACAGGTAACTAATTACAAGATTAAGCCGTTGGTGACTTTGTTTTGCAGATTAACTAACGTCTGTCACTTGCTATGTGGAAGTGTTTTGGGATGGCCGACTACTTCCGTATCGTGTTTTCAGCACCACACGAGGTACTTGCTGACGCCTTCATTCGCCTTGCCGAGTTCTGTTATCGTCATCAATGATGGAGATCACTGTTGCCGACTATGGTGCGTAAAGAAAGCAATCGAACTTGTCTCCAATACAGTAGACGCGACGACGATGCACATACATAAATACAAACTCGATTTCATCATTCTTATTTTTACCAATTCTCAATGTATGGAGAAAAAAGTGTTTGAAGATGTTTTAGACGTTGTACACTTCATGGTGCGGTATTAGTTAGCCCAGCAATCACTTGACCACTGTTCAATCTGTACGATTAATCTATATCGGTGTATTGACAACTATATTGCATCGTGACACACCAACATGAAACTGTTCGTTGATCCGTGACGTCCTTGAACACCTGTTTCGACGCAGAAACCGTGTATGCACATGTTTCACGACCGCGTGTCCCCCAAAACGGCGTGACAATATCTTCCTGCTCATTTTTGCAAGAGGACAAAGTAGTTTCATCGTGAAATTCTTGAAAACACGACGTTGAGATATTGATGGTGATTGAGGTTGATCCAGTGACGTTTGCACGGTTACACGAGGGACACAAACAACGAGGTGTTCCATTCGAATGGGACTACTGCTGACGTATAGACGTCCATGCTCCGCCACAACAAGACAAAAACGCTTGTTCCGCTCTTTGCATATACAGCCTGATAACCCAGGCAGACAAATCCGTAATGGCTACAATCCCATAACTAAGCTGTTGTGGTTGTATGTATCATACTTACGCTATGAGAACTGGTCTGGTTTGAATCCCTTCCTAAACTAATGAGAGCTTTCCACAATTATCCTGACAAGGTTCGACAGCTTGATCCTGTCAAACGTGATGCATATCCGCTACTTTTCAACAACTCCTCCCATGCGACCACCACATCGTCTCCGATCTCCTTGGAGATATTGCACCTCATTTGCCCTGCCTTCTGCGTCCATCTATCGGTCATTTTCCGCTCTTGTGGATTCAAAATGGGTTCGCAATGTACAAAACTTGAGAGAATCACACATGTTATTTTTAGACTGCAATCATCCAGTCTCGTTCCGCGATGGTCACATCCCGAGTGCTGTTCCACTTACATTGACGTCGTCTTTATTCAAGGACCCAACGCCCCATGCAACAGGTGTTATAAGCTTACAGTTATTTGAAAACTTTATAAAGATGTTACAGGTGCCTCAAGACGCAACACTTGTATTCTACGATGATGAAATGAGTCTTAAAGCTACGCGCATATGGTGGGTCTTTCGCCATTATGGGTTTCCACTAGAACAGCTTAAAGTTTTAGACGGAGGTCTTAAACAATGGATTGCTGATGATAATGAGGTGGAGACAGGCGAGGTAAAGGACAGAGGAATCACAACAGATCTCTGGATGCAGCCAGTGGACATGCAGAAGCTCGTGGGCTTTCATGCCGTGCAAAAAGGGATTGCAGATAAGGCTACACAGTTTGTGGATACGAGGTCTCCGGGTGAATTTTCGGGAGAAGATGCTAATGGCAATGCACGAACAGGACACATTCCGGGTGCTGTGAATTTCAACTGGATGGAAGGAGTGGATTTCTTACACAATGGAAAGTTCAAGCGCAGGGACGAGTTGGATAAAGTTTTTCTAAATCTTTTTCATCTAGACAAGGAGAAGCCCGTGATTACTTACTGTCAGCGCGGAATTCGTGCTGCTCATACGGCGTTTGCATTGGAGCAGGTGATGGGGTTCAAGGACGTCAAGATCTACGAAGATTCCATGCTACAGTATCTGAACAGGGACGACTCGGAAGTTTTGAAGCAGTGAGGATTCAATACGTTGAGGAGCTTTGACAAAAGTGTTATGATATCCGATCAATTTCATTCCTCGACTATGCTTCGTCCAGTAGTCACAATACCCGTTCGATTCCAGTACTGCTCAATTGCTGCAAGTCTTCGGCGTTCTTTTCGTTACGATAAACTAATGAAAGTATCGCATACATATCACATACATAATAGCAGCTTTCAAGTTGTTGCAATGCATCAAGGTTGCATAGTCACCACTGACGTGCAGGTAGATACGACGCTAGTGGACAGAACAAAATTCACCATCTAGTTCTATTTGATTAGCCCATGAGTACCATGCAACTCTTTCATTTTCTTCTTCTGCATATGGTCATTGTGATGACACAGGCTGCATGTCACTACGGGTCAGAAGATTGATTGTCTTGGCATTCTTCGCTTTGCGCTTCTCATTACGATTAACGGTCAGCACAAGTGCAGAAAATTTCCAAGATGTACCTGGAGTTGTCATGACTTCGGTATAGTTTTCCTGTCCGTCTTCAGCTTTCTCATCCGGGTCTACTTCTTTGAAAGCCTTGACGAAAAGCGTACCGTTTGCCTTGGGCCCGGAGCACGCAATAGTGTAATTGGCAGCCTCATTCGTAAGTATCCCTACGTGCTTGGAACGATCACTCTTAATCGGGTGCCCAATCAGTTGGCACGCCATGTTGTGGTTGTTCACGTGGTCCAGTACTAATCTGTGCACGTAGAATGGACGATTGCGCAGAATACGAATGGCAAAGAACGATGTCAAGCCACCAATCAACACGCCGCCAATGACTGGAAAAAACATCTTGTTGCCCAGTGACTCGGACTTCTGGTGTGTAACAACGTCTTGGTTCTGCAAATACGACTCTAGCGCTGAAAATTGTGTGCCATCTTCACATTCCACACTCAGCTCATCGACGCTGCCTTCGTCACCCACGGGTATATTCTGTCGGTAATGCACGACGACACTCCCTCTACGATCAAACATGCAGCAATCAGTCAATCATCAAGCCTCATAAAGCTCGAAAAAAAGACTACGTACTTTTCTCCAGTGACGTTAAAACTCCCTTCGTTCGACTTGAGTTGAATACACAAACCATTCGTGTCAATTTCCTTGACCCGTTCAAACTCCTTTGGGTATCCAATAGCCTCAAAAACGCGTCGGTCTTTAACCACCGCACGTTTTGCCATGTTCAAGATGCGTACATTCTGAAGTTTACGATATCACCGATTACGTCATCATTATCATGTGACGGTAGCAAAACTTCAGTTTGCTCTTGTCACGTTGTCAAAGGCAACATCAAGATTCCATATAACGGCCGAGAACAAAAGCCATTACGCACCTCATCCTCCTGAACATCGCGACTTTTATATCGAGCTACAATGCTCATAGCTGATATACCTAGTACCACATAGGCCACCAGCATCTGCATGGTGGGTGATAGATCCGACGAGGTAGTTTTCACACCTTCCTTGAGGCCGAGAGGATTCAGTTGATTACTACTGAATCCAGCAACATACACTTGACGATTAAATGAAAAACTGCTAGCCTTCACACCATCATACAATAAAACTCTTCTAGCAGCAGTAGCAGCCCCAGCACGATGAAGGAATTGCATCAACATTGAAATATGTGTCCATCGTGTTAAGCCTTTGACCTGAGGTATTCGATACCGATTACAAGAGGTATCGATATCCCGTTGTGGATACCTCACTTCATGCCACTTCTTTCGTGCAAACGCTGCGCGCCAGTCATTTTTCCACAGTCGAGCTGTCAACTTGTCAGTTTAGAAAAGACTGGAGGAGCATTGTAAAAATGTTCGTGTAGATAGTTGTAAACCGCCACGTTCTATGTCAGGAGTTTACTTGCTTTCCTTATAGCGCAAGCTCTGTTACAGACGTGGAATAGGAATGCTTGGTGATGGCTCGACTCGTTTTGAGCTCGGCCTACTCACTGTCTAGGCGTTGACGAGAGTGGAACGAGGGGACGCTCAACCCTGCGGGCCTAGATCAGCTCCTTACATGTTTTTATGTTTGACCTTTAGTTAGTGTGTTGACGAAAGCCTCGTACGGCTGAGCAATGATACTGAATTGTAGCGAAAGAGCAGCTTGCTGTCCGAACCTTGCGTTGCAATTTTATCAGATTTGCTTATAAGAACGCGAGCACTAAAAGCACACGTTTGGTCTTTTTGTGATCGAATGTGCCGTCAACTGTGCTCACATCTTTACAAAATGCACCGCTGTATCAACCTGCTACCTGCTTTGTTTTTAGTTCCAACCCCTTGCAATTAGAGGGATACTTTTATCAAAGCAGCTAGCGTCAAACACCAGCTGCTGCTTCGAAATTACCAACCTCAGGACCACTAGGGCTTGTGAGTGAATATCGAATGACGGCAGCATGATTGCGACATTCAGCCATGTCGAAACCTTTAGTAGTGGTAATGTCAGTTTTACACTTGAGGGTATGATGTGACTTTCCTGATCCGTTTTTCGTACGAGAAGCTATCATTCGTTTCAGTGGGTATATATATCGCTGACAGAAAGTTATCTACTTAGCTGTACTCTGTGGACGCTCATGTGGGAAAGGATGGATTTTCTGGCTCCAGTCGGTGCGGTGATTGCAACTGGTGCGATTAGGTAACGGTCAAGTCTATGGGTACATTGGTGGCGTCTGAACACTATGTTCGTGCTGGCTTCACGCGATTCTCCGTCACACGGCAATGTGCTACATCTAAAGTGTATGATCGAAGCAAGCATTGGATAGTATTGTATGAATCGTATCGCTAGCGTAAGGAAGCCAGCCACCCGCAGCTTTATCTTGTTGTAGGAGACAAAGAGATTGAAATGATCAGGACCCACCACAGAATGTACGACAAGGTCAGAGGGCAATGCTGGATACTACAAGCTCTACAATATAAGATATACCACTGTACATTACTGAGGTGGCCATTCGTATTTATATACTACAAACTGGACATTACTGAGTTGGTTGCGTCATGCTTTATCCCTCTTCTCCTTGGTGAAGTCAGAGGCTTTAAGTCGCTTTCTGCCAGCAGCTGATCTGGCCTTTTCTTGAATTTTGAAAAAACCTTTTACAACTGTAAGCTATAAAAAAACCTTAGCACATGTCGCAGACGCGTCTACCGCAACCAACAATCGAATCCATTCGCAAATTTGCTCGCTTCGACCCAATCAAAGTCCAGTTCTGTACTGCCGCGCCTCTACTTGTTCTCTCCTCGTACAAACCATGAACATTGGCGCTACATTCCCCAAGAATACGGTCTACTTGCGCCTAGGACTACGTGGTGTGCAACTCATTTGCAGTGTCCTGGCTTTGGCTTTTGCGGCCTCGGGCTTTTATGGCGGTGGCGCCTCGCACTCGAGTACCTTTGTGCTACTTATGGGCTACACTGGTATGCTGTACACGCTGTGGCACCTTGTGGCGGTAGAGATTATTCATCTTTCTAGCCGTCCAGCGCTTCGCTTGGAACAAGGCATGGATGCACTGATGGTCCTCTTGTTACTTATCGCCGGCATTATTCTTGCAGCGTCAGATTATACACGCCATTGTGGCTTTGGATGGCACTGCCGCAACCTGCGAGCTGCGACAGCCTTTGATTTCATCGCCATGTTTTTCTTTTTGGTGTCGCTTGCTCTGACGTTCCTGACAGCGAATAAGCCGTTCAACGGACCAACGGATGTGCAGGTGGAAGACCCTGTGCCGTACCATCAGAGTGTCACGCCTACTGCTGGCGCGTTGTCTCCCGACGGCAATCCATACGGTGGATCTGCTTCTAGGGTTTAAGATGCCAAGAAACGTTCTCTAGCTTAGCTGAGTGCGTGTTTTGGCGTCAAAGCGATCGGATGTACCACGCCGCGACTTTTTAAGATTCACGAGAAATACAATTCCAATTAGCCTCTATTCACTTGTAGCTTTATAAAGTTGTGGCAGCATATGATGACGATTGATTGGTGTATTGAAGATGTCTTGGCTGCTCTAACCTATTACAGTCAGTCAGTCACCTTTGACCTTTTCTATACATGAAGAGAGAACAAATAAAACTCATATATGATGCTCTTCCTGCTTGATCTTACATACGAGAGTTGGCAAAAAAGTCAGGACCAACATAATCCGTACGAACTGACTGATTAGGAGCCAAAGATGGCTTCAGGTTGTACATAAAGTGGTATTCCAAGAGATGCACGATTCCATGATACTTGCTTGTCACAAGGAATTTATTCGTCTCTGACTTATCGTACGTGACGCTACTACTGAAACTATCAACAAACAGCATTAACATTGGAGTCAGTTTATTAACACACACTTGATTCCTTTCATATCGGTTGAATGCACATAGTGTAGAGTGCAGAATCTTTGACAGACGATATTTTAGAGCAACGCTTTTCATGAAACTCTTTGTGTATTAGTAGAGATAATAATAGCAATCAGAACATGTACTTTGACATTGTAGCTTCATGTTCGTTCAAATAAAGAAAACCTGCTTCAATACAGCACTTTTGCCATCACAATTTGCAAAGCATACTTGATGTCGTTTTTCTCAGCTCATTTTCGCATGCAAAATTTGCTTAGCAGTAAATCAGAATGCACTGGCTTGATGGAGTGCATTCCCTTTACAATATTCTTATCGGAACGTTGGTCTTCTTGCATTGGGTCGATAAATGTACCGGCGCAATATCGACTCAAAACGACAGTAAACAAGGGTATCAAATTGCGTGGTAACCAAATCTCGTTTCAAAAACAGAACCTTAATGATTAGGACAGTCGATACGTCGGTATTTATTGTACGTGAGACTTTCGTCGCGTAAGTGCTCACGACGGGCAGACATTACTAATCCATCAGTTTCTTAGAGTTAGCCATAAACATCTGGCAATAAATGGCCTTTTGACTTGATAGAGCTTCACTTGTGCTTGTCTTTTTGTTGGGAACTTCTCTCACGTTACAACACCGTAACGATGCAGCACCGAAAACGGCAAAAAGCTCGTAAAAGCTCGGTGTAACAAACATCCTGCGCATGGAAAGAAGAGCGTTGAGGTCACCAACGGCGGCATTGATGGCTCTGAGTTGGTCAGTAGCTTACCGTGATCGAGTCTTTTGGACAATTCATTTTACTTTTAGAGTCCTCACCGTCCGATGTCCCTGAATACTGTCCTTACTATCAGTATCCCTTTCGTGGTAAGCGTTACCGTGAGCGCTGTGGCAATCGCGGTGATGTTCAAGCTCGCAACAGGATTCTTTACAGCTTTCCTTTCACTGTTCAAGCGTAACGACGACAAGAACGCAGGAAAGCGCATCATCGATCTTGAGACTGGAAGCGATTTGGCATCAACTTCGCCGTTTGAATACCACGTCACATGGGCAACACCACAACATAAAGTGTTATCACCTTGTACTGGCGACACACCAAAATCTGGGTCGTATCCAATTCTTCAAGTTACGGAGAGATTACCACACTCACCAAAAGTCATGACTAGCCTAGTTTCTCCAACTAAAATTGCATGCAGTCCACTAAAGCGAATAATATAAGAGTAACAGTGCTGTTACGCAGCTTATTTTCATCAACCATGCAATTGAGATTCATTTACGCTACTCTTTCTGTATGCAGTGTTGGCGTTAGGACTGATCAATATAAGAAATCTTCCACGTGTGCTGCATCCCGTTAGTTCTTGTCCCAAAGGACTGATGCCATGTCGCGAATATGACCTCGTCCCGGACTAGAATCTCCACTTTGTCCTTGATGTCATTCTCCAACTCGCCACGGAAAACAAAACAACGCGCAGAGAAACAATAGTTAAGTTGAAAAATGGCTCGTGCAAATACAATGCGGTGGACGCGGTCTCTCCTTCGCTTCTTACAGTTTGCCTTTTCGCTCATAGCACTTGCTACGCTGTCACGAGCTTTTGTGGGGGCTTCGTACTATGGATACTCAAGTATGTTGGGCAGCAGAGCAGCGACATATGCCACCTTGGTGACCTACACGGGTATGCTTGTGGGGCTAGCCATGCTCGTGCTTGTAGAGCTAATGCAATTCTACCCTCGTCCAACCCCGCGCTCCGTCGAACAGCTTATCGACTTTGTCCTAGCAGCCATGCTAGTAGTTGCTGGAATCGTTTTGGTTGTGTCTGACTACGTTGCAAACTGTTCCGTGTATGGCTACATGTTACGCTGCAACCAGTTGAAGACTGCGGTGGTATTTACATTCCTTGCGTCACTGGCGTACTTTGTGTCATTTCTGGTCAACTGCTGCGAGACCTACATGGGCCGGCGTAACTACAATGGAGAACAGAGTGACTCAGATGGCGGTCATCAGGGTCCAGGGTATCACGCTGAGTCTACCCCTATCGGGGCGTCGCCAAAAGATACGTCCAGCCGGGTCTAAATCATTAGTGGAATCGCGAACGGTGACGGTGGTCATGACGTCAGATACAGTTGAGGTGTTCATGTAATTAGTGATGAAATTCACAGGAACATGAACTTGCGTCTCCTTTACATTAATGAGCTGGGTACTTAGTTGTGCTCATTCTAAGAATTGAGCCGAAAACTTGCATCCTTTCTGTCTTGTGAAGCGATGTTTGTCCATTTCGTTGCTGCATTCCAACTAGTGATGCCATTGCATACTTCAGTCGTCTTGTCTTAACATGACTATACGAACCTCTATTTTTCTATTGTTACTTTAAATTACGTCAAGATCATTAAAGGTGATACAAGCGACATTCGAGCAATGGAATAGCATTTTCCAGTCCTTTTAGCGTAAGGAAGCAAAGAATTGCGTGGAATTGTCTTTCACTGTCATGTTTCATTATAACGGTAACAACACGATACTATTGACAGTTAACAATGCTAACCGTTTTCAGATCACTCTTCACAAGTATATCCATTTCTTGAATTGTATTATCCCTAGCATTTCACATCGATGATGTCCAAAAGGTTGTGCTCAAGTCGCTTTTGCCTCTTTTGGGTTCGTGTGTTTCTGCGTTTCATCCAGTTTGGCAGCTCGCTTGTTGCCTACATTGTGCTACGTACAGCTAGTGTGACCCAACAAACTACGGCCGGAGGTCAAACTGTTTCTGTAATTGTTGATAGTAGTGCTCTTAGCTTTGCACGCATCATTAATTTCTTGGCATTCGTGTATGCATTTGCTTTTTTGGTTTTCATTGAATGGCTACGTTTGTGTGTGCATAAGGTGTATTACTATGAGAAAGTCATGGATGTGGTTATATTGGTGTGTCTTATCGTAGCAACTCTGTTGCTACTTTTATCAAAGATTACGCTTCACTGTCGAAGAGGATTTGGACGTTTTATCGATTGTGGAGAGTTGTATCTTGCAGTGGCTATGTCATTTCTTTCAATACTTGCATTTCTATGTATTGTATCGCTTGGAAAACGTGATAAACATACCGAGAGATTACCAAACAATGGAGAACAACAACAGAGTGGAAGTCGTCACAACCAAGTATATTCGTCCCATGCTAGTCCGCGTGTAGGGGCGACTTCCGTACCTGTCGTTACGGTGCAGTAACATTGGGTAGATTACCGGTAGACGACTGGTATTATTCAAATCAAAAAAAAGCGCTTTTGTGTGTGAAACGTGCTCGATAATTGTTTGATGCGTATTTCTATCACTGCTGCACACATAAAAGTCACTTTTTAGAAATATCTCGAGAGAATCTCGTCAGTATCCAAATTTTCACTCCAATCACTCCAGACAATCCCTGTTGTTCAACATGCTCGCCGTACAGGTAATATCTCGTAAACCACATCCTTCTAATGCATGTATAGTAGTTTATTAGTCGCACCAGCATTTCCTCTCTCTATTAAGACCATTTATTGCTCGATCCGTTGCCTACAGCGCTTAAACGCGCACTCTGTTGCAACTGCATCTTGTTTGACTAGTCGTTCTTATGGTTGTAGATTCTCCGCCGCATTACTACAAAGACCCTGCGTAGCTCTCCTATGTCTACTCTAGTTGTAGCTGAGCATGATCAGCTACAGGTCTCAAGTGCCACGCTGGCCACGGTCACGGCTGCGTCACAGATCGGTGGTGACATTACAATGTTGGTACTTGGCAGTCAGGCCGGTCCAGCTGCTGAGGCTGCTGCTAAGATCTCAGGTGTCAATAATGTGCTGCATGCTTCTGACGTCAAGTATGATCATTATTTGGCCGAAGAGGTGGCCGAGCTGCTGGTGACTCTTCAAAAAGCCGAAAACTTCTCCCACGTGCTGGCCCCAAGCTCCAATGCCTCGAAGAATTACCTGCCTCGTGCTGGTGCCAAGCTGGATGTGGCTCCCATCTCAGACATTTTGGCTGTGGTTGATAAGGATACGTTTTTTCGTCCCACTTACGCTGGTAATGCTATTGCTCAGATTAAGAGTAAGGATGCAGTAAAGCTCATTACAGTGCGTCCTACGGGCTTCGAAAAGGCTGCGGCGGAGGGCGGCAATGCGTCAGTAAACCCTGCTCCAAAGGCTCCTACAGTTGGCAAGACTAGCTTTGTTTCCGAAGAGGTCAACAAGTCGGAGCGTCCGGACCTTGCCGCAGCCCGTGTCGTTGTCGCGGGTGGTCGTGGTCTCAAGAGTGGTGAGAACTTTGGTATGCTCTATAAACTGGCCGACAAGCTAGGTGGCGCGGTAGGTGCGTCACGTGCTGCTGTAGACGCTGGTTTCGTACCCAATGAGCTGCAGGTTGGACAAACCGGTAAGGTTGTGGCCCCAGATTTGTACATAGCTGCTGGTATCTCGGGTGCCATTCAGCATTTGGCGGGTATGAAGGACAGCAAGACTATTGTGGCAATCAATAAGGACGAGGAGGCTCCAATCTTTCAAGTAGCAGACTATGGCCTTGTGGGTGATCTCTTTACTACCGTGCCTGAGCTAACGGAGAAGCTCTAAAAATGGGGTTGAAATACTCAAGAGCTGAATCGTCAATAAAAATACAGTCCGTGGACATGAATGATCACGTATGTTTCATAAAGACAAAGCATTATGGTGTTTGTTTCGAATTGGATATCATTCATTGGATGAAATAGTGAGTCATGTTATCAACCAATCGTATTATATTACTACAATTCAGCCATTTTCTGACTCCACGCGTCAGTCGCTATCTTTTATAATGTATTGATATATTCTCATTTAAATTAGTGCATTAAACGCCACTCGTTCCATTCTTCCCGATTCATTTCTCTATTCTCCTTTTTAAACTTAAGTATAGATAGAGATAAAGAGAGACAACTCCCATTTCATTCATGGGTAAAGAGACAGAAATGACGAGAAACAACAATACATGTGTAAAGTCAATCTTAAGTGACTTGTGTGTTGAATATGACAAGACAACGTCCAAGAAGATTAAGCTCATTGACGGTTTCTTAGTCTATGTTATGGCTACAGGCCTGCTACAATTTCTCTATTGTATGCTCGTGGGTAATTTCCCCTTTAATTCATTTCTTGCTGGTTTTGTATGCACGATTGGAGTTTTTGTCTTGGCTGGTAAGTTATTTATCTGTTTGACTTGGAAGAAAATAATGATACAAATAAAAAACCGCGTATTTTATATATTGGCTACTGACTCGTATTATTCAATGTGTGTGTGTTTTTTTACTATTGTTTTTTAATCTTGTTCTTTGTATGGGAAAAACAATATAGTCGCGCTAAGAATGCAGATTAATCCAGACAACAACTTTGGAGACCGTACCGAACAACGAGCTTTTGCTGATTACCTCTTTTGCAACATTCTTCTCTTCCTTGTTGTGTTTAACTTTATGGGTTAAATCAAGTTTGGATATGACAGATGGACGGTTTTTTATATCGTGGAGAATTTTCTATTTTATTCCAAGAATGAACTTGGAAATGAAAACAAATGTACCAATTCGTTGTAATTTACAGTACAACGACGTGGAAACATGCATCAAAACACCAGTCGATTGATTTTTCAATGTAAAAAGAAGAAACATTCCAGTGGTGACATTGTGATTCTTTTTTTACCAGTTTTTAGGGCTCTTGTTGAAATTTTGTCATGTCTTTTACTTGATTTTTGTATTGTTGGAAATAATTCCCGTGTTGTTTAGCCAACCAAAGTTCAATGAATGACGAGGAATTGCTAGAGAGATCAAGTGAACCAAGTTTCGTTGCAAAATGCAAAGACATTTGTCCAGATCACGCCAGGAATTTCGTGTCGTCTTGCTGATGCCATCAGAATTGTCAACACTCGTTGACGAAATTTCAATGGGTAATACGAATGACTAAATGTGCTCCATCGTCGCGTAGACTTCACCAGAATTAGCGCAAACGTACCATGTTCACTCGGAGCTAAAGCACAATCTACCTCAGCATTGGCCCACGTTCCTCGAATCACAGCGTCATTAGTACTCATGTCTGCTGAATATGTGTACATACCGACCTCATGCTGTACCATGTATTGTTGGCTGTATACTATCCGTGACGGCTCCCAACGTCCAAACACAGGGCAAGTTTGCTGAAAAATACGCTCTTTACTCCATCCAATTAGCTTTCCACCTGGATGCAATTGCATTTCTAGATCAAACGCATACTCGTATCCATCTGCATCAGTCGCGCATCCAGACAACTCGTACTCGCCTGATGTGAATGCGTGGATAGCGTCGTCATTATCATCAACATCAATTGCTGCGCCAGTATCTTGGTTTATCTGCTGTTGCTGCTTCTGTTGGAAAACTGGAAGAATACCATACTCAATCTGATCTGTTTTGATTGCGATAGATGTGAAATCCACTCGTACAAGCTCCAACTTGAACTCTCCCCGACCACCTTCGTAGCCGTCAGCGTGATCTTGATCTTCATTACGCCATTTGCCACTGAGCATCTCGCATCTCTTACCACAAGCATTTGCTTTGCTTTTGCATTTCATCTTCTTACCATTTGATACACCAGCACCACCTTTGTCAATGACTACAGCTCCTGAATAGCGAAAGTGTCCCACAGCCTCGCGAACCCGGTACTCCATCGTATACACAACACGTTTGGCGGACCAGCGTCCATGTAATTGACAAACCTGGGGCTGAACAACTTCCCGAGACGTACCACGCAATGTGCCATCAGGCAGCAAGCGCAACGTGACCAAGCATTTATTTTTCGTAGTGGTCATGACAGGTCGAGGGCGATCTCGGCATCCATTTGTCCGTCTTGGCACCACCGCTGGTATGACAGACGGCGTATCAGACGTTGTAAAGCCGATGAACTCGTATTTGCCAGGTCGCAGTGGATTCAACACTGACGGTTGTCTGGTCCGTATCATTAACGCCTCTTTCTCCGCCTGTTCTTCTTCCTGTTGGTGTTGATTCCATTCCACTGGTTGTAGTTGAAACAGCTTTTGCTCCTCAAACGACTCTACCGCCTCTCCTGTCCTAGATTGCTTGTCGCTTGTCAAAGCTGATGATGATACACGCAAAACTTGTCTGTCTTGTTCACAGACGCTAGAAAACTGCCAAGTGTCCACTGCAGATGCATCAGGTGCCACTGGAAAGGGCGTGGAACACGTGAGACTGTATCGGTCCATGGGATGTAATCGCTTCAGCACCTCGAAAGAACAGTAATACTTCACCACCGACGTGTCGTCATAATTGACACTTGACGATAGTGAGACGACCGGTTCATTTACTGAAACAACTTGTGCATTACCAATCACATGTCCAATAACAATATCGTCGGGTTCACTAGTACTTTCAAGACGCTTGCGTTTCTTTCCATTGCATAAAGCAACTGTATTAGCATCATTCTCTTGCTTCCGTCTGATTTCTCCATGGAATGAACTATCCGTCCTGACGTGGAAATGAAAGTGACTTTCTAACGTAAACAATCGACCCTCATAACCATCATATACCCGCTCAAGTGGTATCAATGGGATTTGACATATTGGCCTCACCTGATCGTGGAAAGACATTCGGATGATCGTTCGCGGAAGATCATTCTTTGCTTTCGTTTTTGAGCTATTGCGACGCCACATAGTTTGATCCTTAGTATATACTACTACTACTACTACTACTACCAGATTTGAAATAATGGTGAGAAAGGAAGGAGATGCTATGATAAAGTAGTTGGTTTAGGATATATAGGATAAGAACACACCCAATACACACTTATATGGTAAACTGTCGTCCGATCATGCAATGCAATGGATTGTTGGCAGAAAAACACACACAACATTCACGTTTAGTTGACACGTTGAAGTGCAAGAAAACGAATGCGTGTTTCTGAACGAGCTTTAGGTTTGACTTGACGTTTCAGCACTATGAATTTCATGAACGGCAGTCGACATGGTTGAGTTGTACATTTGAATACGAAAGAGTTCTTACATGGTGTAAGTTGAGGCAGGTGAGCAAGATATATATCTGATGCTTTTGCATTAATTCTGGTAGTTGAGGCATTGGTTCAGGTCGAGGAACTGTTGATACATGATGTCGTTGTTGAATCAAAGCACGAAGATTGGCATTTGGTTCGTGTCAGTCAGTACTGGATCAAAACCAGAACATTCAACTTCATTCAAATCAAGTCAAACACATGGTGGTTGAGATCAAGACATTGACAGCAGCCAGTAGAGATAACATACGAAGACGCTACCCTACAGCTTCATTTGCCAACGTGCTGAATACAAATCCTTGTGGATTCAAGACATGGATGCAACAAGACTGGTCTGCTGTTGCACTAAACAAGCCTGGTCTGCTTTTTTCTCAGACACTTGTTAGAAGCTGAACAGGAGTCACTCAATAGTAAGAATGTAAAGACCTCCGTGGATTTGCACATTTGGGGTGGTGCTTGACAGCTGCCAGATTCCAAGCATATCGAAGCAAATGCAAGGTCTGTTTCGAGATCAGGTAAGCCAAAGGCAACAAGTGCTGCTGATGATCTTGTTATGCTTTACTGAATCTTGTCTATCCATAGTATCCGGAATAGTATCAGTAGGAATCAAAGCAGTCAAGACATGCGAAGAGTTTAAGGCCACACTCGGCTGTCACAAGCTTAGTCTACTGGAGCTACTGCAACCAATCTGATACCATAAAACAAAGAAAGATTAGTATCAAACCATTCGAGCACCTCGTTTCTCGTGACGCACATGCGGAAGAAAGAACAAGTTTTCATAAAACTAACGAGTGATGAAAATCTTGGCTGACAATCCTTTGGGAAGCACAACCGAAGTAAACGAGTTCACCATTATCCATTTGCTCGTCAGAACGCAGGAGCGTGCAAGTCACGAAACGGAGAAACACGATCATGCGTGTTAATTTGCTTGTTTTTCTTGTTGTCGCCTTCGTTCAATTTGCCAGTGCAGATACGTCGTCAGCAAAGTCGAGATCGACATTAATAGAATTGATACTATCGTCCGATCAAAACGATATCCCACACACCCAGAGGTCTTTACGAGATGGCACAGAAGAGGGCGAAGAAGAGAGGATAGTTGTTAATCTACCCATCTTCAAAAGCGCTCAGGAATTCGTCAAGACGATGGCATCCAATGTTGGGAAGCACGTGCTGTATTGTATCTTGAGGGTAGCGAGATTATCTCTGATTGACGCCTTTACTTTCTTGAGGCTTCATCATGTTAATACTGTCAACGCGACAAAGAGTATACGCTTAAAAGCGTGGATCAAGTACGCGGCAAAGGTAATCAAAAACAACCCTGGCGCAATGAAGGCTGTTGCTGAGAAATACGGTGACAATGACCTTGTGAAGTTTGCTCTACATGTTCTAAAATCTCAACGCACAGAAAATGCCGCGACCGAGTTGGAGACTCCGCTAGTAGGTGTTTCAAATGGCCATAAAATGTCTGCAGATGCCGCCGCGACCGAGTTGGAGACTCCGCTAGTAGGTGTTTCAAATGGCCATAAAATGTCTGCAGATGCCGCCGCGACCGAGTTGGAAACTCCACCGATCGGTGTTTCAAATGGCCATAAAATGTCTGCAGATGCCGCCGCGACCGAGTTGGAGACTCCGCCAGTAGGTGTTTCAAATGGCCATAAAATGTCTGCAGATGCCGCCGCGACCGAGTTGGAGACTTCGCCGATAGGTGTTTCAAATGGCCATAAAATGTCTGCAGATGCCGCCGCGACCGAGTTGGAGACTCCGCTAGTAGGTGTTTCAAATGGCCATAAAACGTCTGCAGATGCCGCCGCGACCGAGTCGGAGACTTCGCTAGTAGGTGTTTCAAATGGCCATAAAACGTCTGCAGATGCCGCCGCGACCGAGTCGGAGACTTCGCTAGTGGGTGTTTCAAATGGCCATAAAATGTCTCCAGAGGCCGCTTTCACTTTTATTCAACCTCTCAATGAAGTTATCCCCCTGATGCGCGTAAGTGCCATGAAAGCATGGGTCGAGTATGTGAGAGACACAGACACCACTGGCTTTTCGGATGTAATAATCATGAAGGCGCTTAATAGTGTCGATGCCAAAGACCGTCTGAAAATTCTTGAAATCATGAGAGAGGTTCCAAAAACGGAACAAATTGTGAGCATGTTGGAGTTTTTGTTGTTGACTGATTGGAAGAATCAAAGAATTAAGACCACACATTTGTTCGCGGACTTGAAGCTTAACACTAATGTGAATGACCTTCTCTACAACCCGAATCTGGATCTTTACAGTAAATATGCGATCATGGTCATACCCAATACTACAATAGAACTCGCTCTGGTCATAGCGGCCAATAAAGCTTATGGGCCCGGACCACTGGCCAAGATGCTCATGATGGAGGTGAGGTTAAAAAGGAAGAAGCATAAATTGGCCACGACCTTGCTGCAGGTTTTGTATCAACAATGGCAAATGATGGCAAACACGCAAAATGATGTAGCAGCTATGTGTTGGTCAAAAGGGATAATGGACTTGATCGATGATGAAATAGCGGAAGTTGTGACCGGGTATGTGGCGTTTCTCAATAAGCAAACGCAATCCTAAACTGGTTCCTCTTTCTATTTCCAGGTACTAAGAACAAGTGTGAATGATGAAGCTATCACACCCAGATTGGCACAACACAGTTGATAATCGAGATCGTCTGAATATCGCAGAACTTGCAATGGAACGTTCATCTTACAATAATATGAACTAATCTAGTTGAAACGAACAATTATCCACAACAGGTACATGTACCGAACAAGCAGCTGTTCGGACTCGCCTTGCAATTGGCATCTTTGATCTCATGTTGTGTCAGTGCACTTGCAAATCGCTCTTGAACCAGCTATAGCCACAATATGATAGAATAGAGCTCCATAAGTGGTTCGGCAGGATACTTGTACGATGTGACGCAAGCAACAGGAGCTTTACGCATTCTCTAAACGATACGGGGCAGTCCTTGTGAAATGCTTCGCTCCATACACAAACAGCCTTGACTAGGTGAAATTCTAGAATACCGCGCTCAGCTTGACTTGTATGAGCGTCAAGGTTTCGTGCAAGTACGGCAAGCTTGGAATTTTGCCACGTGCCTTGCAAGCTCGAGTAAGTTGGTGTGCCAAAGTAAATATATGTATGTGTGATTATTGCCATGCATTTCATATTGCAGCAAATACTTGAGACCATTACAAGTCCACATACCGGTAAGTGGACACTCTTGAGTAAACGGGAATTCACAAGATGTACCCGACATTGTGCCATTCACGTGCAATATCATGTCCACGATACACTCGTAGACGAATGCATTCTCAGCAATTGTAATACCTTGTAAGATATATCGTCCAGGCGTTAGTGGATACATTGGGTCCTTCAGTATCTTGACACGACGAGTACGTAGTTGTAATCGAAACTCTTGTGCTTTTTCTTCAATGTCTTGAATTGCCATAAATTGTCCCGACATGACATCACACTCAGGCAAAACATGTGCAATACATTTGATAATCTGTGACCACATTCCTTGTTGATCTCGTCTCCACTGTATCAATTCAAAGTGGATAACATACGACGTATTGAATGATCGTGCTCTGCGTCTTGTACTCTCCAACATGTCCACCACTGCTCGTCCATCATAGGCTACTGACTTCATGTCCATCTCTTCCTCATCTTGAACTTGATCATTTTCATCAGGATCATCACTGAGATTCTGTATCATTGTAGCTATTTCTTCAACAGTTCTCCTTCTCCTTCCTCTTCTTCTTCTTTCATGTCTTGAAGCTTCGTCATGAATTGAAACAACTGTAGATCGATCTGTATACTCTCAATTGGTTCAATACTAACTTGAACCCTTCTATCATGATAAATCTCAAATGTAAATGAATGGACGTTACTTAAGAAGGAAAAACTGCCATAATACTCAAATACCTCAATGATATCGGTAGTATGAACCATATGAAGCTCTAGAGAGAAGTAGCTTGATAGAGAAGTCGTTGGTTAGGACGTTTTGAGCGATTTGATTGGCTGATAAGAAAATAAGATAAAATGGTAGGAAGGAGTTGAAATGGCTACAGGCAGAATTTAGAAATTGATGTTCAAGTCGTTTTTTTGTGTTTTGGGTACATGTTTCTATCGCTTTTCTTACTTCAGTGCTTGTACAACTTTACGATGACACTGCGATGCATTTGTTATCAAGTCACGATGAGAACCTATTTCATCATTAGTACTAGTAGTCCTTAGATATTTTTTTTTCAATGTGTCTTGTCATATATATACAGTGTCACACATAGTTTTCGGCCAATGCTTGTTGCACACTTTACGTATCAATCAAGTGTCTAGTCGTTTCTCTTTCTCCCTTCACTATCTATCTACTCAATGATAAGCTCATCAATGCTCCAATCTTCAAATGAATTGTCAGGCAAGTACCGACGGATAATAATGGGAATCTTGCGTTCACGTAGTTCCTTCATTGCAATCTTAAGCGGATCTGTCTCGCCTTCAATATCCACCATAACTGGTGCATTCATTGATATCTGTAATGCTCTTGTCCCTAGAACACGAGCACGTTCGTACTTGGTCATGTAACGCGTAGTGATGCGGTTTGCATTAGGCTGTTTATGCGATTCATCAAGAATTTGCAGCTTATTATCTTCATCAACAGTATCATCTCCCCCTTCATACAAATCCTCAGTCGGTATTTCCTCCTCTAATTCCTCTTCAGGAACTTCTTCTTCCATGTCACGGTGATTGGCATCGTCATACTCCATGTCATCCATTTTTACTTGACTATATTATGCGACAAATGCGATCACGTCGCTTCCACTCAAGTCTTGGATACATACTAATACCCAATCAAAACAGTATATACACAATATTCTACATTTAATTTCAGCAAATCATATTATTTCGATTATCATCCAGTGAACAAGAGCGATATGTTAACTGAGCCGAAAAATGCCGGACCTGGACGACGAGTTTGCACGCTTTGAAGCAGAGATTCAGTCACTAGAGAAGCAAGTAAAGCCTATAGACGATACACAACATGAAGAAAAGAATCTTAATAACGATACAGAATTATTTTTGAAGAAAAGCAAGACTGAAGAAGGTGGAGTGACACCTTTACGAAAACGTGTGGGTGTAATGGCGAAACCCAAGATTTATATGGCTCCACCACGTCCTGCACCAGTTAAAAAAGTCATGTCAACTGAACTACTAGATGGAAAATGTGCAGAAGAATCTGATGGACGTCCAAGAATGCTCAATACGCTAGAAGACGTGGCAGCACATCGAGGAGCTCTCAGTGGTTTTCCAGTAGGTACAACGGGGGAAGATGCAGCAATTGTTGCTTCCAATGCATCAGGGGCAGCGTCTGTGGCGGGCTATCGACCAATTCTTCCCCGTGTAGATATGGACACAGGACACGTGCTGTCGATAGAGGAGCAGGAGATGATGAATAGGCAGCAGAGTGTCTACGAGTACGACCCCAAGAGAACGGCAGCAAGTATTGCGGCAGGATCACAAGGAAAAGATGGAGTAGGATACGGAAAAGGAGCTGGTAGAAAACAGAAGCGGCATTTACGGCTTGCTGGTGGCCAAGTGTGGGAAGATCAAACGCTTGAAGACTGGCCTGACAACGACTTTCGTCTCTTTTGTGGAGATCTCGGCAATGAAGTAAGTGACGAGCTTCTTGCCCACAGCTTTGCCAAGTACGCATCGTTTCAACGTGCACGTGTCGTGCGGGATAAGCTGACGCACAAGTCGCGTGGATACGGCTTCGTTAGCTTCACTGACCCTTTTGACTGCGCAAAGGCCCTACGTGAAATGAACGGAAAGTATATTGGAAACCGACCTGTGAAATTAAGTAAAAGCAAGTGGCAGGAACGCAACATTGACGTTGCCAAGAAGAAGATGCGCAAGCGCAAGCGTGATAAGCACCATCTATTTAACTGATGTGGTCTGGTAGATCCTGGTAGCAATCCACAAGATACTCGGCGACTTTATACAATTATAGTGTTCTATCACTTAGCACCATTAAAGTGACGTGTTTTACACATTGTTTGTGTTCATTACACCATATTTTCAAAAACTTCACACGCGACTCAACCATGGTATGTATGCCGCTTCTCCTTCTATATCTTCATAGCTCTCTTTCTCCATCGCTTCTTCATCTCTCTCCTCCTTTCTATCATCATCTTCTATTTCTTCTTTCATGTCTTTTATCGAATCTACGATCCTAAATTCTTTTCTATACATTGTACTGACTGTTGGTTACAGGACGCTGGTGCATTGAGAACTGTAACTGGACAGATAGGCACTTTAGTGCTTGATATGCAAGGTCACGTGCTCTCATCTACTGGTGAGCTACGTGGAACTTCTGGAGAGATTGCAGCCGAGACTATTTACTCAATGTTACAAGACACAAGCTGTGTGCTGGATACCAGTCAGAAAGAGGAATTACGGCGCATGACCAGTACGTCTTGAATTGTTCAAGCACCGTATCTTCTCTTAAACGTCACCCATTGATGAAAATTTGCATGCTTTTTATCTAGTAAAATTCCCGACATACAACTACGTTGTAACGCAGGATGCCGAGCAGATTTACGTGATCAAACGCAATACTATTCAGGAATAAGGAGAAGAGAAAGAGAGAGGGAGAGAGAAAGAGTCAAAATCATCGCGACGACTACATTGCTACTACTTGAGAGACGCGTGCTTTGTATGGTTGATATGTGTGTTTCATCGGAAGTTGATGGGAACGATATGACACTGACAATACTCTCTATTATTCAACAATGCATTTCAATATTGCAGTCAGTCAAGTTATCGTGGCAGATATGATGTAATCTTTTTAATACTCGTCAACATCGTCAGTGGGTTCTTGTCAATGAATATCAATGAGCACTGATCGTATTGTATCACAAATGTTTGGACACAAATCTGATACTATTTATTCCGATAGTTGCGTCTTCTTCATTTATTAATGAGCTTTTACATGTGCACCACAGCATCTTCAAAATCATCTCTAAATTTAAAAAACATTGGCATTATAATTTAGAAGTTTATGGTTCTAAAGAACGTCCACACTGACTTAATTATCTTCAAGTCTCCAGGCTCTCTTTCTTGCAGTTTATACAATGACAACAACTAGTTCGAGTAAAATAACGAACGAACCCGATATATCGACGTCAATACCATCTCCAAGATTTGGATTCGAGTCCCACGTAACGTCCGTCGACGAGCACACGTTTTTATCAAATCTGAAAGATTCTAAATTTCGACTTTTCTTACATGATTACATGACGAACAGATCCGACTTGGATCATCAGAATGAGACAAACCGACATGTGTTACAAATAAAGAACAATCATAACCTGTCGACGAATAAGCAGCAAGTCAGTAGTAGACCAAAGACTGGATTTGTAGTCAAGACAAAGTGGAATCAGACGCAGAAAGTCTTTATCAATGTGTGTAGTAGTGCTACAATACAAGCAGCTTGTAATCTAAAGGCAAACGTTAATGTAAACAGTGGATTATGGCACTTACCTTGTTCATTAGGACTCGAACGACTTGAAATTGATGCACGAGGTGCCAACGTTCCGACGTTCGATGTGTGTTTTCATCCTCAAGTCGTTGAGTTAGCAATGGCTCGAGTGGATTATCGAGATATAGTCATTCAGACGTGTTTTGATGCGGTTGAGAAGACTATGAGAGACTCAAGATGTACATCTACAGCACTACTAGCGAGAAAGTATCATATTCTGAAAGGTGTGTGTTACAAGTCAGGTGATCCGATTCCGATGTGTTTAAGAAACGATCAAGAAGAGATTGAGATACCTCGATCCAAGAACATGCAGGAGGCACAGGTTACGAAGAAGATAGAAAGGGATATATGTCAAGACAAAAGTACAATGTTGGATGACAGAGGACCGATAACGGCGGTTAGTGGTCAAAATGACGACTCAGTGCTGAATATGTTGGCGCATGTAAACCAGACCGATGACAGTACTTCATTGATCAAGGAGGTATCTTGCATCGATATGGATCTGCAACAACAGCTTGTGAAATTACAGCTGAAGAAAAAGTTGGAGTATCAATTAGTTCATCGTGGACGGTATGAGCATCTTCCAGCTGATCCAAATAACCGAGTCCCTGATAATGTGTTTCGCCCTGAAGAACTGGTGATCAAAGTGAGTATTCCTCTTGCTACAAGTGCTAAAGGGATTGACGTGGATGTGAGCGAGCAGATGTTGCGATTATCGGTGGATCTTGATGTGGTTGGCAATTACGAGCCGCTAGAGCTGGCATTGCCATTTCCCGTGATTGAAGACAAAAGCTGTGCCAGATTTGACCGCAAGAAACATCACCTAGTAATTACTCTACCAGTACAGCCTCCAAAATCCAAGCCACAGTCCCATTCGTTGGTCGTTCAGGATGACGACGAAGAAGCAGAGAACAAGGAATTACCTCAAAATATAGTGGGAACGCCGGAAAGCAGTAAGATGGTTGCCACAGAACAAACAAGGAAGGGCGAGGAGGGCTTGCTTATGCTCCAAAAGACGACATCAATGGTGGCAAAAGACCCTCAGGTGGTGGTAAACAATCCGCTCAAAGCTCAGCGACTCTCTCCAACAGCAGTAACTAGTTCGCCGCGATCTGCAGTGACTGAGCTAGCTGCAACCAAAGACGACATTTCGGACAATTTGCCACCGCTTACGAGCTGTGGCGACGAGGAGACTGATACATTGGAGCCTCGCGCTGAAGAAATGAAGTCACCTTCAAATATGTTGGCACCTGTTAAATTAGCATCCAAAGCCTTGAAACCGATCAAGCCATATTTTGAGACTCATGATACTTTGGAGTGCTTATCGTATATCGTTGGTGTTGCTGGCATCGACTCGACGAGCGTGAAACTCACTTTTCCGTCAGATAGTTCACTGCACCTCCAATTTGCAGACAGTGAAAAGAAAGTGTATGAAATGCTTATTGCTGCCTTTCCAGTCGATATCGATCCGTCCACTGCTGAGTTTGACGTGGCTAGTGAGAACATGGTGGTCATTCTTCGCAAATCAAATACGCAGCTTTCAAATATAGAGGCTTGATGCTCTGCATCTGTGCTTTCTGCAACAACTGCTTGATCCCAGAACCAAATGCTTTACGAGCTAGATAGGCATCTCTTCAACTTCAAACTTTGTAGTGTACGTCAGCAGTGAGCGTTAATTTCTTTCTAGCCATAGGTCAATGGATTCTGATGTAGACTGCATCACCAAATTCTGGACTGAATGTTTGGCACTTGCTGTCGCATCTTGATGATAATATGACCGATACCTGACGTCGATTGTCCATCAGTGTCTGCAGCGGAAAAAAATATGCAACAGGTGACTCGTCGGTACAACACAGCGCAGACCAAAAGTGTGTCGACAAGAACGAGAGAAAAGCATTTGAGCGCAAGAATGATCTCATGTCGAAAGGATGAGCATACACGGGAGACACAATTTCTGGTGAGGTAGTATCATAACACCATCCGAATGTGTGAACTGATGAGCAAATTAATGAACGAGCATCATCCAATGCCCACGTGCTTTTGATTATAAGTCTAGTGCACCACTGTTGACGGGCTGCAGATTAAGGGCTTGTGATTTCCTGCGACAAGACATGACAAACTCCTCTCCTAAGCTTCGTCTCTTTGACCAATCTAGTACGCACAACTTTTCTGCTTTCAGCCATAGACCGAGCGTGAGCAACACAGCAAGTAGCTCAAACATGTAAATCTATTCCACCTCTCGTCTTGTATGGACTCACCTCCGACGCGCTTTACTGTTGCGAAATGTCTCTAATAGCTTGGAATACGTCTGCTGCTGCAATTCTGGGTTGGCCAGGTCCTTCTCTACCTGGAGCTTCATGCGCTTGCGCTGTTCACTATTCTCGTTGGCTGAAAAATCTACTACAGGCTGCTGTTGTTGAAGCTGCTTTTTGCGCCGTTTATTCTTCTTCGTCTGAGAGCTCGTAGCTTCGTCAATTGCATCCTTTGACGTCTTGCTGCTCCCTATGACCTGGTGCGATTTTGGAAGCATCGTATCCATAAATGATCGGTACAAAACCGTCATTGACGGTAGCACGTGAGCCGGTGCATCGAACAGACTGCTAGACGCAGATCCGTTGCCAGTCGTACTGTTTTGTGCAGTAATTTTGCTTTGATTTATTTTCTGTGAAACGCAACCATCATTCGCAGCATTGTAAATAGTGCTGAGTGCCTTGGCTTCACGTTCGCCGTTCTTGGACGCCATACGAGAAGCAACAGCAGCAACATGGGCTTGCTTCCGACGTCGGGCATCTAACGACCTGGCATTTGGTCCATCCAGTCTCCAAACACCTGTCTTGTTATCGACAAGAATGATGTCTTCAGTGCCAGGATGAAACCCCGCGCTCCACACCTTGCTGCCAAAATTAACAACACGTACGCACGATGGCACAGGCGTTTGAGGATCAAAAACAAGCACTAACGTTTTGTTCGTCGGGCCCTCCTCCACAGACATCCAGATCAGGAAACGTTCATGCAGCGCCTCTTCGGCAACAACAGCATTCATCGGCACAGTGTAACGCCACCAAAGCGACAGAGACAACAGGCTCCAAACCTGCACCTGGCTGGCTGTCACCACCACGACAAAAGGCGAATTTATGCCTGGAAACACAATCTGATTAATCTTCTGACCATCAGCCGAAGGAAGCACACGACGCAGAGAGCGTGTCGTGACATCCCAAATAGTAAGTTTATTGCCGTAAGCCACAGCAAGCAATGAACCATCACGTGCAAAACCCACTGCTGTGATTGGCTCGTCGCGAAAGCGGACCACAGATTGGCAGTGCCACGACGCACCACCTGTCTCCGCTACCGACTTTTGCCACACCTTAAAATCACCTTCGTCGTCAGCTGTTACTACGCAGTCGCTATCAACCGTAGGTGAAAACACTACGCTTGTAACACGAGCGCGATCATGAGGTGCATCAACCGCAGTATTTACAAAGAATGAGCCGTCTACATGACGCGTCCAAAACCGCAAACTCTGTTCATTGCACTCCTTCATCGTAGTTGGCGCGTGAAGCGTGACAAGGGCACCACCACAGGAGCTAAAGCACGTGTGCGAAGCCAGTAGCGTCGGCAGTACCTCGTCATCTGTGCGCGTCACTTGATTGCGCTCTGATAGCAACAGCGTCTGCAAGACACGGTCAGTGAACGGTTCGTAAAACTGCAGCACACCAGCACCTGACGAGCCATTCATCACCAGCGCTTTGGAGACGGGATCTACTACCAACTGACGAGTCGGTAGCGAGTCGGCAGCCGACCTACCACCACGAGCCAATCCACGCGCCTCCCACTCCTGTTCACGTGTCACTGGATTATATTGAAAAAGAACATTGTCTGCAAGACCCACTACAAAGACACCCCCATCTTTGCGGAGTGCAATAACCTCCACGGGTGCTGAAAGACGTGGCAAGTAGGATCGACGACCTGTTTCCAATTGCCAAGTTACCAGTACACATTCTTCACCACCTGATAGCAAAAATTGACCGTCGTTCGAGTACTGCATGCAATGTACAGCATGTGAATGCCAATGCATCATAGCTGTTGACACTGTAGAGTCTCTCCCAGTTGACTGATATGGATTATATCGAAATATCTGTCCCACTTGATCACCAATCGAAAACTCCCGTTGAATTGGATGAATAGCAATGCACGTAACATTTCGAACATGATGAAATTTCTGTTGTATAAACACTCGATTGCTTGAATCCTTGGCATCGTGTTGATCATGTAGCCATCCTGTAATAATCTTCTGACCAGCTGCAATTACTAGATAATCACCTGATATTGGAATCCCCTTGTTTCCATCATTTTGAGGCTGTAAATAACTCTGTAATGCTGCAGCTTGAAAGAATGAACTTGATTCGAATAACGTACGACCACGTGTCTTCTTTTTTAGACTAAATTCCACTAAACACCATGAATTCTTCTTTTCACTCGTATTTGTACTTACAATTAATAGTAATTGCGATGGACTTGTAAGACTAGAGGCCATCCATAGTATCTGAGTTTTTGTATCAATCTCAACCAGTGATTTTTGCTCCATAAAATCCCATAGTAAAATGTAGCCATCTTGATAAGCAGCCAATAATTGCAAAGCATTGTGAGGATGTAGCGCAAATGCACACACGGTGCTGGTACTTGTGGAACGTGTACATTCGTGCAACAGACGGCCACTTGGAGCATGTAACACACGTACAACATGCGCCTGACGTTGAAAGACGTAACGGCCATCGGCTGAATACAAAAGTGTTGCAGCATAAAGTCCCACGTGATTAGTAGAAGAAGAAGAAGATGTAACTGTTAGTGGAGGTGTTAACAATTCAAGCACTTGTTCTTGATTATATATTGACTCTTGTACCATTGTCATGATTCAATGAGCTTTAAATGGTCAAATGATGTGGTAGATCCTCATGTTAGATGGGTGGAAGGGAGGTTTTGACGTCAAGGTAGTCAAAGAAAATAGTTGGAATAGTTTATGCAAACATATGACTTCCCGGTAACTAAATGATCTGGAGCCATCCCCACAACCTGTAGCCATTTTAAAGAAAGCACTTTCTTAGCAAAGGGTTCAGTAGATACGTATGAAATCGACAGCATATTGGAATAGTTCTGTTGCTGTGTTTCATGATTGACACGCTGTGGTAATGCAATGATATGACGGATATTTCACGTTCATAAAGCTCATGATGATGTCAACTATTGTATGCAAAAAAACTCTATGAGAAATCAAAAATTGAATGGATATGAACATAGTTCATGACTTGACAACCGTCCTAACAAAGCTCTTACAAGACACATTCTGTCAGTCTTCTCCTTGGTCATAGAGACTGAACTTGATATTGCAACGATATGTTCATGCACTTCTTGTTGGTTACAAGCCACTCAGTCATTGGGTAGTAAAAAACAGTAGAGATAGTGAGACCCATTGACACGCACACGAAGAACGATATCGGCATTGCACGAAAGGACCTCAGTGTATCAGATATAGTGTCAGAAACGTCGTAGCGATTGCACCAAGGACGGCATACAAGTCCGACCGTTATACGGTGTTCAAGTGTCACTACACAGCTCTACCTCTCACTCCATTCCCCTGGATCCTTTGCGTTCCAATTGTGACAATCGATCGATCGTGAACCACCCATCAAAGTCTCTCCGACTCTGACACGTTCGATTTGACACGCAAACGAAAGCTTCTCATCATCCACTCAAACAGCCGAACAAGATCTTGAAAAGATCGTAGGATTAAGTGGTCACGGCCCGTTTCAAGTTGCATCAAACTCTACATCATCTTCCATGGCAAGACAAAACTCCAAAGCGACAGTATCATCTTGTGCAAACGCTCTTTGTTGTGTGACGAAAAAAAATAATGCAGACCAGTAACAACCAGAATGACAATGGTGGACATGGTGATGAGCCCGATCGATCATCACAACGACCAGCAATGACAACAGCTTAACTTGCAGCTTTTTTTCCTGTGCGGTACAACCAAGCGTTATACAATGAGGTTGTGAGCTCTCGACCAGGATATGCGCAATTAGGTAAGTCGACGAAGTCATAGGTTATCATGATACAATGGTTGATGGGCTTAAGATGTGTGTGTGTGGATAGTATGCATCGGAGGCGACGCAATCGGAGCTATCGGTTGTCGACTAGAACCAGTGGACGAAAGACCGAAAGGGCTAAAGCGAACATACATCATGACCTTTGGCGTAGTAGAAAACTATCGCCGAGCAAGAATCGGTCTGAGATGAAGTTACTTGACATGTTCTATTTTGTAAGACTAAATGCTCACGCAAAGCATGTTGTTGTTTTGCATGTGCCACGATGCAGGTAGTCGGCTTCTTGAAGAAGTGATTGCACAGTCGATTCAAGACGGAGTAGTGCAGGTGTATCTTCATATCCAAACTAGCAATATTGCAGCGCTGCAATTCTATCGTTCACATGGCTTCGAAGCTACACAGATCCTGCGCAAATACTACAAACAAATCGATCCACCAGACTGCTATGTCCTACGTCGACAACTCGCTCCGTAGCTGCTCGACTATGTGTACTCAGCCTTTCAAGCGTTGTGAAATACTAAACACTCAGTCGAACGACTCATCCTTCGTCTTGCTCTATCTTTTTGAATCCAGTAGCAATGGAAAGACGATTATGCTGCGGCTTCGGCCTGTATCTTCCGGCGCTTCGGGTCGTCCTGCATCAAGGTTTGACGCTCCGAGCTGAATGCAATCGACTCGGGCAGTTGGAACGAAATGCAGACCATGACTTTCTTGGGGGCTACGTCACGAACGAGGTGAAATGACGTTCGTTCCGGATCCAGCTTACCGCGCATGATCTTTTCAGCACGCTACAAAAGGCATTCAACACAAAAATCAAGATACGCAGAGCATTTCAGTTGGACGAAAAAACCATCTCTTACTTCTTTCACGTCCTTCTGAACGTCTTCCGCATTAGAAAAGCAGTAGCAGTAGATATACGGAAGCTCGCCTTCCCAGTGATCGAACTGTTTAGGAAACGCATCCAAAAATTCAAGCGCAATAGCCGGTAGATTCATAATCACATGTGAAAAGTGCTTCTTCTCGCTCAGCAGCTTGGCCAAAAAGTCACGGCCGTCGAGATTGTAAGGCCTAACGAGTTTCTCTACCTTGTTCAGCGCAATATTTTGCTGCAAATAATGGTAGCTTCTCGGATTCAGGTCGTTTGCATAAACCTTGCTGCCATTCATCGCCACTGGAATAGCAAAAGGTCCAATGCCACACATCATATCGCAAACTACATCCTTAGGTTTAATAAGACGGATAATTCGTAAATGCTCTTGTTGCAGTCGCGAATTCCAGTAGACCTGTGCATAGTTAAATTTAAAAGTAGCCTTGCTTTCATGTACTTCCACTTCCATATTATTTTCACCCGCGAGCACTTCCATTGGGAAGGTACGAAACTTGGTCTCAATGTTATCAATCTTGTTCACAACGGTCCGAATCTGTGCGTTCTTGTCTAGAATAACCTGTCCAATAATGTTCTTGTATGGTAATTGATTGTCTCTTAAATTTAAGTGAGCAATATGGCCAACTGTCTCAAATGAGCTTGGAATGTCCATGCCCTTTGGTAAGCATTCACTCAAGACCTGATCTACACTAAAGTAAGTATAATCAAGTTCAATCATGTGATTGACAAAAGCTATACTCTCTTGTCTTAGAAACGTCACAAGATCTTCATGTAAAGGCTGCAACGTCTCAAGATTTGTCACTTTTGTAGAGAGTAGAATCAATTTACTACTTGAATTCTTGCCTGGATCAGGATTGATTGGATCAGGTACAACATTCCGTAGTCGAGGTAGATTAAGTAAATGACCATGTAATTTCTTCACGATATGACCAATTTTCTTTGCTTCTACACGTACTCCAATAACTTGCAAGGTCTTGATAAATAGCGTCTTATCGAGTATCACCACTGGCTTGGACATTATGGAGCAAATAATTCGTGGAGCTACTGAATTCAAAAATTCAGCTTCATGGTAACTGATGTGGTGCACATGATCCATTAATATTGAAGAGAGCTACAGAATCAGATGCAGGGAAATTGAATATCAGGTCGTAGTTAATGCACTATAGAAGTTACAAGCGCGTATAAATAAAGTCATAGCAAACGATAAACTCTACACGCCTTGCAATCTACACTCTGTCGCCTTTGTCAACTTTGCGATTGCCGACCTACTTCCGTGCATAGTTGCCTTAAGCTTGGTGGACTCTTGCCTTGCTTTTTCTAACGTTTAGATTCCGTTAGCACCAATGCTTCACCTCGATCAGAGTATGTCGACAAACTGCTTCGTAAAATCAATCTTTGTCGAGCTTTGTCTAGCAATCCACTTCGCGTCTTCATCTCACCATCAACTCATGAAAGCTATCCCAATTGCAGTCATGTCATTGTCATGCCATTGTTTTCAATCGACATTGGTAAACTCAAAGAATCATGGACACAAGAGTGTGCATCGTCGAACAATTGTGAAAAGATACGGCGTGATCTACATTCCCACTTTTGAACGTATTCCACAAATCCTTCCGTGTCAGTGTCATCGTCGCAAACATAAAGTCAATCAAGTGTTCATGTCTAGAATCATTTTCGCTTACTTAGTTGCTTCAAGACAGTCAAAAACCAATGTCTCAACGTAATTCATAGTCTGCACTTGTGTATTGAGTCAGTAAAGTCTCAAGCGGTTGTGACTCGTGCTAAGATCGTTGCATGGATTGGTTAATTGCCCACGACTAGTATTTCATTTATTATTTTAGCCAATCATTTCATCGATCGATTTCATTCGATTATTAACCAATCCAAACAAGTAGATGAAACTCCACTGATTCATACTAATCTGTCGTAGTAGTTCATAGTCGAGATAATGTCGCTCTCAACTCCTTTGGCAAATTCGACACGTGATTATTCCAATGCTGATCCTCACGAGACAGTAGAGAAACGTTCTAAAGCTTATGGAACTGTCTCTTATCTTGATAAAATATCCAGTACTGACAATAAATTGAGTCTGTCACTTCAATGCTGGCGTTCGGTTGGTTTCCTAGTGCTTTTCATTCTTATAGTAAGTTTCTTACTAGTTGAAAATTCTTATGAGTCCTTATCTAATGATTTCATACACGATCAAATACAATCAAATCGTTCCTTCTTGATACGTGAGATCATCCATACGCCACGAAATAATCGGATTCATCTCGTTGAGAATCGAACGAGCTTTCGTCTGAAGAAGAATGATGGTCTTTCAAAACGAGAGAATATGTTTTTGACAAATGTTGATACGAAAGAAATACAAAAATTTCATGAAATGTATGCTCAGAGTCCTCATCCAGCAGGTAGTTTACAAGACTATAGAACAGCCTTATATACTGCTGAACAGTTCAAGTCTTTTGGTATTCATGCACAGATTAGTGAATATTATCCATTACTCTCAGTACCAATTCATCGTCACTTGAGTATTCAATTGCCATTGAAAGGAATCAAGAGATTAAATCTCACAGAGAGTTCGATTCCTGGAGATTCATGTACAAACAATCAAGATGCATTGCCTCCATATTTTGGATACTCAGATTCAGGTAATATTACAGCATCAGTCATATATGTGAATTATGCAAGACCTATGGACTTTCAGTGGTTAAAAGACAATAACGTGACGTTAGAAGGCAAAATTGCATTAGCACGGTATGGAAGTAATTTTCGTGGAGTTAAAGTGATGCTAGCAGAACAACATAAGATGGTTGGTGTTCTCATTTATTCGGATCCACTTGATGATGGATATGCTCAAGGACCGGTCTATCCAGATGGTCCATGGCGACCAGAAGGATCATTTCAACGTGGATCAGTGCAGTACAACTCTATTTATGGTGGTGATCCGCTTACTCCAGGCTTCCCATCCCTACCTGGTGAACCTTACCTGAGCAAGGAAGAGAGCAAAACAATTCCACATATCCCAGCACTTCCTCTTTCGTACGGTCAGGCTCGCTACATTCTCGAGTTATTGGGGGGCAAGAAAGCTCCAGAGACTTGGCAAGGTGCTCTTAAGCTTGATAATGGTGGCTATTATGTGGGTGACGATGAAGCTACGGTTTTGAATATGGATGTGGCCATGGACAATAGTATTGGACCTATTTGGGACGTTATCGGTACCATTGAAGGCACGGAGGAGCCCGACCAGATGGTTCTGATTGGCAATCACCGCGACGCTTGGGTATGCGGAGCTGTGGATCCATCTAGTGCGTCAGCTGTCATGCTGGAGATTGCTCGAGGGCTGGGTGACTTGTTCAAAGATGGCTGGAAACCTCGTCGTACTCTTATAATCGCTTCTTGGGATGGCGAGGAATTAGGCTTGCTCGGTAGCACAGAATATGCAGAGGACCATGCTGAGCTGTTGAAGAAGCAGGCTGTAGCGTATGTCAACGTAGACAATTTGGTCGGCCCCTTTGTGAGCTCTGGAGGCACACCGTCCATTGCAAAGTTCCTGCAGGAAACGGCCCAGCTTATTCCAGGCAACCCGTTTTACGGCGTGAATGTCACGGAGAGCTTGTATGAGCAGTGGGTGAATCAGACTGCTGTTCGACGATCAAGTCTTGAAGTTGGCGCCGATGATCGAACTCTAGCCCCGGACCACTTGATTCAATTCTTAGGCTCCGGCACAGATTTTACAGCCTTTTATCAGCACCTTGGCATTCCCTCGGCTAATCTGGGCTACACTATCGGCAGTGCGATGTACGGCACGTATCACAGCACCATGGATAGCATTCCGTATGTGAGAACTGTGGGCGATCCGCACTACGCGACGCATACTACGATGGCAAAGTGGTGGGGGCTAATTGCTCTACGCCTGGTAGACAACGCTATCGTACCGTTTGACTTTTCAACTTACGGGCTTGTAATGCAAAAAAGGACTCGCCGGGTACGAAAATATAACAGTTGTTATGGGGCGTAGTGTTGACTACTCGGCACTTCACGAAGCGATTAGAAAGTTCAGCAGCAACGCCGAGGTCTTTCAAGCGCATGTTTCTGAATTTCTCCAGAAGACTACTACGAAGAAAGAAAGCCGCAAGTACAAGGCGGAACGTCACTTGTGGAATGAAAAACTTGTGAGTCTCGAGCGCTTTTTGATTTCAGACGCCGGGCTGCCTCATCGACCGTGGTTCAAGCACATGATTTTCGGGCCGGGCTTCTACGAAGGCTACAAGGGAGCTACGTTCCCAGGTATCTCAGACAGCATCGTGTTTGAGGACGATAGCGCTGCGATTCAAGCCCATGTGGATGATGTCGCCGCAGTCATTAATACAGCTGCGGCTTATTTTACGTCTGTGTAGCTAAGCCAGCAGGGGAATTGAGAAAACGGTGTGGTGCCTCCTGTGCGAACAATAAAGAGAAAGTAAGAGAGAATGAAGAGAAAGCGATAGAAAAGAAATGTTACTGGGCTGATGAAGTCGAGTAGTTTAATGAGGCAGAAATATATTCTTGAGCTCAGAAGCGCTGCAACAACGCACCGTTGTAGCACAATTGCATTTCCTGATGTCATCGAAGGCTGTCGAGCCAAGCCAACAAACAGCACACGATTTAGAGAAGTGTGCTAACAGCATTGCCAAGACCAACCAACGTAGCCGTCACCCCCACGCCATGACACAATGAACGTAGGGGGTTGCTTCCCATTCGCGTAAGCATACGTATGCAGACACCGCGCCGTTGTAAAAGCTATCATCGCATGGTAGTGAACGTTCGCATCTGCTCCAGCCATGATACCCGCACCAAAGATTAAAAGGCCAAAGGGAATGGATTCAAGATCATTCATAACAATACTCCCCCAGCGCTTGGCAGACTCGAGTGCTTTGACATCTTTGGTCGTATCAAAGCCAAAAGTTTGTTTGCGTTTGGCTGACGAGAATTTCGAGTCTTCAGGAGGACGTCCACCGGTGGGAAACTTTTTCGCGCCCTGAATCATCGTAGCCGTCAAAAACTTGAGATATAGCACCGAAGTGCACGCCACGTACACCTTAACGCTTCCAGACATCATTGTCAATGGCGAAAACTTGCTTCCCACTCTTTTTGTTTCGTAGAAAACGGATAATGCAAAGCCCTTGTCATCATGTGCTGGGACGGTCGGTAAGTAGTCCAAGTTGAAGCCGTTAGAGAATTAGTGCTCTGGTGTTGAACAGGCACGATTTGTATTGAAAGGTCGTAACTTTGACTTCTTCGAGGAGAGATCGTAGGTAACGGACACAAGATGTCAATCAATAACTTTGGTGAAAAAGCTCGAATACCTATTGTTTCAGGTTTACCAGACATTGGCCAAGCACAATGAAATAACACAGGCATAAGCAAGGCTATCTAGGAAACGATCGATCAAAGGGAAGATAATCTTAGTTGGAAAGCGAGTGACCTTAGGTGACTAGAAACTTTGATGGTGGCGACATACTTATAGTTTGGCTAGTCACTCCAAAGGCCGCCGTCGACGGATCATGATTCTTGCGCCACGCAAACCAGGTCCGGCTAGCCTTGACTTAATTAACGGCTTGAATACGTGTTAGTAGTTTCTATATTGTCATGTCACTGATACTGAACCCAGCCGACGTAAGATGAATCCTGGCCTTCTCTTTGCTTCATGTTCAAAAGAAAATTTGTTAGCTTAGTCTCCGCTCTAGTCACTCCCTCGTCCTTCGGAGATGCCAGTGGCACCAACCTCGGAGAGTCCAGCTCGAAATCATCGATGAGCCGGTGCCCTGTAGCCGTTTTGGGCACGTGAGCTAGGACCGCGTTGTATCACCGCGGTTGCCGATAGCTCTATAAACGGCGTTGACATCAGCAAAAGGGACGATTAGAAAACGCTTCACGTTTCTACCGCTCGAGTTATCCCGCTGGGAGATTACTGTCCTTCAGGCCTCGCAATATCTGGTATGTTGGGGCATCTCAACGCAGCGGTGCCCTTACGGCTGCGGCAGCAACCGCCGTTCACGCAGCTTTTCTAAGGTCACTCGCTTTCCAACTAAGATTATCTTCCCTTTGATCGATCGTTTCCTAGATAGCCTTGCTCATGCCTGTGTTATTTCATTGTGCTTGGTTAATGTCTGGTAAACCTGAAACAATAGGTATTCGAGCTTTTTCACCAAAGTTATTGATTGACATCTTGTGTCCGTTACCTACGATCTCTCCTCGAAGAAGTCAAAGTTACGACCTTTCAATACAAATCGTGCCTGTTCAACACCAGAGCACTAATTCTCTAACGGCTTCAACTTGGACTACTTACCGACCGTCCCAGCACATGATGACAAGGGCTTTGCATTATCCGTTTTCTACGAAACAAAAAGAGTGGGAAGCAAGTTTTCGCCATTGACAATGATGTCTGGAAGCGTTAAGGTGTACGTGGCGTGCACTTCGGTGCTATATCTCAAGTTTTTGACGGCTACGATGATTCAGGGCGCGAAAAAGTTTCCCACCGGTGGACGTCCTCCTGAAGACTCGAAATTCTCGTCAGCCAAACGCAAACAAACTTTTGGCTTTGATACGACCAAAGATGTCAAAGCACTCGAGTCTGCCAAGCGCTGGGGGAGTATTGTTATGAATGATCTTGAATCCATTCCCTTTGGCCTTTTAATCTTTGGTGCGGGTATCATGGCTGGAGCAGATGCGAACGTTCACTACCATGCGATGATAGCTTTTACAACGGCGCGGTGTCTGCATACGTATGCTTACGCGAATGGGAAGCAACCCCTACGTTCATTGTGTCATGGCGTGGGGGTGACGGCTACGTTGGTTGGTCTTGGCAATGCTGTTAGCACACTTCTCTAAATCGTGTGCTGTTTGTTGGCTTGGCTCGACAGCCTTCGATGACATCAGGAAATGCAATTGTGCTACAACGGTGCGTTGTTGCAGCGCTTCTGAGCTCAAGAATATATTTCTGCCTCATTAAACTACTCGACTTCATCAGCCCAGTAACATTTCTTTTCTATCGCTTTCTCTTCATTCTCTTTACTCTTTATTGTTCGCACAGGAGGCACCACACCGTTTTCTCAATTCCCCTGCTGGCTTAGCTACACAGACGTAAAATAAGCCGCAGCTGTATTAATGACTGCGGCGACATCATCCACATGGGCTTGAATCGCAGCGCTATCGTCCTCAAACACGATGCTGTCTGAGATACCTGGGAACGTAGCTCCCTTGTAGCCTTCGTAGAAGCCCGGCCCGAAAATCATGTGCTTGAACCACGGTCGATGAGGCAGCCCGGCGTCTGAAATCAAAAAGCGCTCGAGACTCACAAGTTTTTCATTCCACAAGTGACGTTCCGCCTTGTACTTGCGGCTTTCTTTCTTCGTAGTAGTCTTCTGGAGAAATTCAGAAACATGCGCTTGAAAGACCTCGGCGTTGCTGCTGAACTTTCTAATCGCTTCGTGAAGTGCCGAGTAGTCAACACTACGCCCCATAACAACTGTTATATTTTCGTACCCGGCGAGTCCTTTCTGCATTACAAGCCCGTAAGTTGAAAAGTCAAACGGTACGATAGCGTTGTCTACCAGGCGTAGAGCAATTAGCCCCCACCACTTTGCCATCGTAGTATGCGTCGCGTAATGCGGATCGCCCACAGTTCTCACATACGGAATGCTATCCATGGTGCTGTGATACGTGCCGTACATCGCACTGCCGATAGTGTAGCCCAGATTAGCCGAGGGAATGCCAAGGTGCTGATAAAAGGCTGTAAAATCTGTGCCGGAGCCTAAGAATTGAATCAAGTGGTCCGGGGCTAGAGTTCGATCATCGGCGCCAACTTCAAGACTTGATCGTCGAACAGCACACCCACTGCTCATACAAGCTCTCCGTGACATTCACGCCGTAAAACGGGTTGCCTGGAATAAGCTGGGCCGTTTCCTGCAGGAACTTTGCAATGGACGGTGTGCCTCCAGAGCTCACAAAGGGGCCGACCAAATTGTCTACGTTGACATACGCTACAGCCTGCTTCTTCAACAGCTCAGCATGGTCCTCTGCATATTCTGTGCTACCGAGCAAGCCTAATTCCTCGCCATCCCAAGAAGCGATTATAAGAGTACGACGAGGTTTCCAGCCATCTTTTAACAAGTCACCCAGCCCTCGAGCAATCTCCAGCATGACAGCTGACGCACTAGATGGATCCACAGCTCCGCATACCCAAGCGTCGCGGTGATTGCCAATCAGAACCATCTGGTCGGGCTCCTCCGTGCCTTCAATGGTACCGATAACGTCCCAAATAGGTCCAATACTATTGTCCATGGCCACATCCATATTCAAAACCGTAGCTTCATCGTCACCCACATAATAGCCACCATTATCAAGCTTAAGAGCACCTTGCCAAGTCTCTGGAGCTTTCTTGCCCCCCAATAACTCGAGAATGTAGCGAGCCTGACCGTACGAAAGAGGAAGTGCTGGGATATGTGGAATTGTTTTGCTCTCTTCCTTGCTCAGGTAAGGTTCACCAGGTAGGGATGGGAAGCCTGGAGTAAGCGGATCACCACCATAAATAGAGTTGTACTGCACTGATCCACGTTGAAATGATCCTTCTGGTCGCCATGGACCATCTGGATAGACCGGTCCTTGAGCATATCCATCATCAAGTGGATCCGAATAAATGAGAACACCAACCATCTTATGTTGTTCTGCTAGCATCACTTTAACTCCACGAAAATTACTTCCATACCGTGCTAATGCAATTTTGCCTTCTAACGTCACGTTATTGTCTTTTAACCACTGAAAGTCCATAGGTCTTGCATAATTCACATATATGACTGATGCTGTAATATTACCTGAATCTGAGTATCCAAAATATGGAGGCAATGCATCTTGATTGTTTGTACATGAATCTCCAGGAATCGAACTCTCTGTGAGATTTAATCTCTTGATTCCTTTCAATGGCAATTGAATACTCAAGTGACGATGAATTGGTACTGAGAGTAATGGATAATATTCACTAATCTGTGCATGAATACCAAAAGACTTGAACTGTTCAGCAGTATATAAGGCTGTTCTATAGTCTTGTAAACTACCTGCTGGATGAGGACTCTGAGCATACATTTCATGAAATTTTTGTATTTCTTTCGTATCAACATTTGTCAAAAACATATTCTCTCGTTTTGAAAGACCATCATTCTTCTTCAGACGAAAGCTCGTTCGATTCTCAACGAGATGAATCCGATTATTTCGTGGCGTATGGATGATCTCACGTATCAAGAAGGAACGATTTGATTGTATTTGATCGTGTATGAAATCATTAGATAAGGACTCATAAGAACTTTCAACTAGTAAGAAACTTACTATAAGAATGAAAAGCACTAGGAAACCAACCGAACGCCAGCATTGAAGTGACAGACTCAATTTATTGTCAGTACTGGATATTTTATCAAGATAAGAGACAGTTCCATAAGCTTTAGAACGTTTCTCTACTGTCTCGTGAGGATCAGCATTGGAATAATCACGTGTCGAATTTGCCAAAGGAGTTGAGAGCGACATTATCTCGACTATGAACTACTACGACAGATTAGTATGAATCAGTGGAGTTTCATCTACTTGTTTGGATTGGTTAATAATCGAATGAAATCGATCGATAAAATGATTGGCTAAAATAATAAATGAAATATTAGTCGTGGGCAATTAACCAATCCATGCAACGATCTTAGCACGAGTCACAACCGCTTGAGACTTTACTGACTCAATACACAAGTGCAGACTATGAATTACGTTGAGACATTGGTTTTTGACTGTCTTGAAGCAACTAAGTAAGCGAAAATGATTCTAGACATGAACACTTGATTGACTTTATGTTTGCGACGATGACACTGACACGGAAGGATTTGTGGAATACGTGATCACGCCGTATCTTTTCACAATTGTTCGACGATGCACACTCTTGTGTCCATGATTCTTTGAGTTTACCAATGTCGATTGAAAACAATGGCATGACAATGACATGACTGCAATTGGGATAGCTTTCATGAGTTGATGGTGAGATGAAGACGCGAAGTGGATTGCTAGACAAAGCTCGACAAAGATTGATTTTACGAAGCAGTTTGTCGACATACTCTGATCGAGGTGAAGCATTGGTGCTAACGGAATCTAAACGTTAGAAAAAGCAAGGCAAGAGTCCACCAAGCTTAAGGCAACTATGCACGGAAGTAGGTCGGCAATCGCAAAGTTGACAAAGGCGACAGAGTGTAGATTGCAAGGCGTGTAGAGTTTATCGTTTGCTATGACTTTATTTATACGCGCTTGTAACTTCTATAGTGCATTAACTACGACCTGATATTCAATTTCCCTGCATCTGATTCTGTAGCTCTCTTCAATATTAATGGATCATGTGCACCACATCAGTTACCATGAAGCTGAATTTTTGAATTCAGTAGCTCCACGAATTATTTGCTCCATAATGTCCAAGCCAGTGGTGATACTCGATAAGACGCTATTTATCAAGACCTTGCAAGTTATTGGAGTACGTGTAGAAGCAAAGAAAATTGGTCATATCGTGAAGAAATTACATGGTCATTTACTTAATCTACCTCGACTACGGAATGTTGTACCTGATCCAATCAATCCTGATCCAATCAATCCTGATCCAGGCAAGAATTCAAGTAGTAAATTGATTCTACTCTCTACAAAAGTGACAAATCTTGAGACGTTGCAGCCTTTACATGAAGATCTTGTGACGTTTCTAAGACAAGAGAGTATAGCTTTTGTCAATCACATGATTGAACTTGATTATACTTACTTTAGTGTAGATCAGGTCTTGAGTGAATGCTTACCAAAGGGCATGGACATTCCAAGCTCATTTGAGACAGTTGGCCATATTGCTCACTTAAATTTAAGAGACAATCAATTACCATACAAGAACATTATTGGACAGGTTATTCTAGACAAGAACGCACAGATTCGGACCGTTGTGAACAAGATTGATAACATTGAGACCAAGTTTCGTACCTTCCCAATGGAAGTGCTCGCGGGTGAAAATAATATGGAAGTGGAAGTACATGAAAGCAAGGCTACTTTTAAATTTAACTATGCACAGGTCTACTGGAATTCGCGACTGCAACAAGAGCATTTACGAATTATCCGTCTTATTAAACCTAAGGATGTAGTTTGCGATATGATGTGTGGCATTGGACCTTTTGCTATTCCAGTGGCGATGAATGGCAGCAAGGTTTATGCAAACGACCTGAATCCGAGAAGCTACCATTATTTGCAGCAAAATATTGCGCTGAACAAGGTAGAGAAACTCGTTAGGCCTTACAATCTCGACGGCCGTGACTTTTTGGCCAAGCTGCTGAGCGAGAAGAAGCACTTTTCACATGTGATTATGAATCTACCGGCTATTGCGCTTGAATTTTTGGATGCGTTTCCTAAACAGTTCGATCACTGGGAAGGCGAGCTTCCGTATATCTACTGCTACTGCTTTTCTAATGCGGAAGACGTTCAGAAGGACGTGAAAGAAGTAAGAGATGGTTTTTTCGTCCAACTGAAATGCTCTGCGTATCTTGATTTTTGTGTTGAATGCCTTTTGTAGCGTGCTGAAAAGATCATGCGCGGTAAGCTGGATCCGGAACGAACGTCATTTCACCTCGTTCGTGACGTAGCCCCCAAGAAAGTCATGGTCTGCATTTCGTTCCAACTGCCCGAGTCGATTGCATTCAGCTCGGAGCGTCAAACCTTGATGCAGGACGACCCGAAGCGCCGGAAGATACAGGCCGAAGCCGCAGCATAATCGTCTTTCCATTGCTACTGGATTCAAAAAGATAGAGCAAGACGAAGGATGAGTCGTTCGACTGAGTGTTTTGTATTTCACAACGCTTGAAAGGCTGAGTACACATAGTCGAGCAGCTACGGAGCGAGTTGTCGACGTAGGACATAGCAGTCTGGTGGATCGATTTGTTTGTAGTAGTTGCGCAGGATCTGTGTAGCTTCGAAGCCATGTGAACGATAGAATTGCAGCGCTGCAATATTGCTAGTTTGGATATGAAGATACACCTGCACTACTCCGTCTTGAATCGACTGTGCAATCACTTCTTCAAGAAGCCGACTACCTGCATCGTGGCACATGCAAAACAACAACATGCTTTGCGTGAGCATTTAGTCTTACAAAATAGAACATGTCAAGTAACTTCATCTCAGACCGATTCTTGCTCGGCGATAGTTTTCTACTACGCCAAAGGTCATGATGTATGTTCGCTTTAGCCCTTTCGGTCTTTCGTCCACTGGTTCTAGTCGACAACCGATAGCTCCGATTGCGTCGCCTCCGATGCATACTATCCACACACACACACATCTTAAGCCCATCAACCATTGTATCATGATAACCTATGACTTCGTCGACTTACCTAATTGCGCATATCCTGGTCGAAAGCTCACAACCTCATTGTATAACGCTTGGTTGTACCGCACAGGAAAAAAAGCTGCAAGTTAAGCTGTTGTCATTGCTGGTCGTTGTGATGATCGATCGGGCTCATCACCATGTCCACCATTGTCATTCTGGTTGTTACTGGTCTGCATTATTTTTTTTTCGTCACACAACAAAGAGCGTTTGCACAAGATGATACTGTCGCTTTGGAGTTTTGTCTTGCCATGGAAGATGATGTAGAGTTTGATGCAACTTGAAACGGGCCGTGACCACTTAATCCTACGATCTTTTCAAGATCTTGTTCGGCTGTTTGAGTGGATGATGAGAAGCTTTCGTTTGCGTGTCAAATCGAACGTGTCAGAGTCGGAGAGACTTTGATGGGTGGTTCACGATCGATCGATTGTCACAATTGGAACGCAAAGGATCCAGGGGAATGGAGTGAGAGGTAGAGCTGTGTAGTGACACTTGAACACCGTATAACGGTCGGACTTGTATGCCGTCCTTGGTGCAATCGCTACGACGTTTCTGACACTATATCTGATACACTGAGGTCCTTTCGTGCAATGCCGATATCGTTCTTCGTGTGCGTGTCAATGGGTCTCACTATCTCTACTGTTTTTTACTACCCAATGACTGAGTGGCTTGTAACCAACAAGAAGTGCATGAACATATCGTTGCAATATCAAGTTCAGTCTCTATGACCAAGGAGAAGACTGACAGAATGTCTCTTGTAAGAGCTTTGTTAGGACGGTTGTCAAGTCATGAACTATGTTCATATCCATTCAATTTTTGATTTCTCATAGAGTTTTTTTTGCATACAATAGTTGACATCATCATGAGCTTTATGAACGTGAAATATCCGTCATATCATTGCATTACCACAGCGTGTCAATCATGAAACACAGCAACAGAACTATTCCAATATGCTGTCGATTTCATACGTATCTACTGAACCCTTTGCTAAGAAAGTGCTTTCTTTAAAATGGCTACAGGTTGTGGGGATGGCTCCAGATCATTTAGTTACCGGGAAGTCATATGTTTGCATAAACTATTCCAACTATTTTCTTTGACTACCTTGACGTCAAAACCTCCCTTCCACCCATCTAACATGACCACATCATTTGACCATTTAAAGCTCATTGAATCATGACAATGGTACAAGAGTCAATATATAATCAAGAACAAGTGCTTGAATTGTTAACACCTCCACTAACAGTTACATCTTCTTCTTCTTCTACTAATCACGTGGGACTTTATGCTGCAACACTTTTGTATTCAGCCGATGGCCGTTACGTCTTTCAACGTCAGGCGCATGTTGTACGTGTGTTACATGCTCCAAGTGGCCGTCTGTTGCACGAATGTACACGTTCCACAAGTACCAGCACCGTGTGTGCATTTGCGCTACATCCTCACAATGCTTTGCAATTATTGGCTGCTTATCAAGATGGCTACATTTTACTATGGGATTTTATGGAGCAAAAATCACTGGTTGAGATTGATACAAAAACTCAGATACTATGGATGGCCTCTAGTCTTACAAGTCCATCGCAATTACTATTAATTGTAAGTACAAATACGAGTGAAAAGAAGAATTCATGGTGTTTAGTGGAATTTAGTCTAAAAAAGAAGACACGTGGTCGTACGTTATTCGAATCAAGTTCATTCTTTCAAGCTGCAGCATTACAGAGTTATTTACAGCCTCAAAATGATGGAAACAAGGGGATTCCAATATCAGGTGATTATCTAGTAATTGCAGCTGGTCAGAAGATTATTACAGGATGGCTACATGATCAACACGATGCCAAGGATTCAAGCAATCGAGTGTTTATACAACAGAAATTTCATCATGTTCGAAATGTTACGTGCATTGCTATTCATCCAATTCAACGGGAGTTTTCGATTGGTGATCAAGTGGGACAGATATTTCGATATAATCCATATCAGTCAACTGGGAGAGACTCTACAGTGTCAACAGCTATGATGCATTGGCATTCACATGCTGTACATTGCATGCAGTACTCGAACGACGGTCAATTTTTGCTATCAGGTGGTGAAGAATGTGTACTGGTAACTTGGCAATTGGAAACAGGTCGTCGATCCTACTTGCCACGTCTTTCAGCACCCGTGGAGGTTATTGCACTCCGCAAAGATGGGGGTGTCTTTGTAGTGGGTCTTGCAGACAATGTTCTTTTTCAATATAATCCAGTGACACGTGAACAGGAGTGGGAGGCGCGTGGATTGGCTCGTGGTGGTAGGTCGGCTGCCGACTCGCTACCGACTCGTCAGTTGGTAGTAGATCCCGTCTCCAAAGCGCTGGTGATGAATGGCTCGTCAGGTGCTGGTGTGCTGCAGTTTTACGAACCGTTCACTGACCGTGTCTTGCAGACGCTGTTGCTATCAGAGCGCAATCAAGTGACGCGCACAGATGACGAGGTACTGCCGACGCTACTGGCTTCGCACACGTGCTTTAGCTCCTGTGGTGGTGCCCTTGTCACGCTTCACGCGCCGACTACGATGAAGGAGTGCAATGAACAGAGTTTGCGGTTTTGGACGCGTCATGTAGACGGCTCATTCTTTGTAAATACTGCGGTTGATGCACCTCATGATCGCGCTCGTGTTACAAGCGTAGTGTTTTCACCTACGGTTGATAGCGACTGCGTAGTAACAGCTGACGACGAAGGTGATTTTAAGGTGTGGCAAAAGTCGGTAGCGGAGACAGGTGGTGCGTCGTGGCACTGCCAATCTGTGGTCCGCTTTCGCGACGAGCCAATCACAGCAGTGGGTTTTGCACGTGATGGTTCATTGCTTGCTGTGGCTTACGGCAATAAACTTACTATTTGGGATGTCACGACACGCTCTCTGCGTCGTGTGCTTCCTTCGGCTGATGGTCAGAAGATTAATCAGATTGTGTTTCCAGGCATAAATTCGCCTTTTGTCGTGGTGGTGACAGCCAGCCAGGTGCAGGTTTGGAGCCTGTTGTCTCTGTCGCTTTGGTGGCGTTACACTGTGCCGATGAATGCTGTTGTTGCCGAAGAGGCGCTGCATGAACGTTTCCTGATCTGGATGTCTGTGGAGGAGGGCCCGACGAACAAAACGTTAGTGCTTGTTTTTGATCCTCAAACGCCTGTGCCATCGTGCGTACGTGTTGTTAATTTTGGCAGCAAGGTGTGGAGCGCGGGGTTTCATCCTGGCACTGAAGACATCATTCTTGTCGATAACAAGACAGGTGTTTGGAGACTGGATGGACCAAATGCCAGGTCGTTAGATGCCCGACGTCGGAAGCAAGCCCATGTTGCTGCTGTTGCTTCTCGTATGGCGTCCAAGAACGGCGAACGTGAAGCCAAGGCACTCAGCACTATTTACAATGCTGCGAATGGTGGTTGCGTTTCACAGAAAATAAATCAAAGCAAAATTACTGCACAAAACAGTACGACTGGCAACGGATCTGCGTCTAGCAGTCTGTTCGATGCACCGGCTCACGTGCTACCGTCAATGACGGTTTTGTACCGATCATTTATGGATACGATGCTTCCAAAATCGCACCAGGTCATAGGGAGCAGCAAGACGTCAAAGGATGCAATTGACGAAGCTACGAGCTCTCAGACGAAGAAGAATAAACGGCGCAAAAAGCAGCTTCAACAACAGCAGCCTGTAGTAGATTTTTCAGCCAACGAGAATAGTGAACAGCGCAAGCGCATGAAGCTCCAGGTAGAGAAGGACCTGGCCAACCCAGAATTGCAGCAGCAGACGTATTCCAAGCTATTAGAGACATTTCGCAACAGTAAAGCGCGTCGGAGGTGAGTCCATACAAGACGAGAGGTGGAATAGATTTACATGTTTGAGCTACTTGCTGTGTTGCTCACGCTCGGTCTATGGCTGAAAGCAGAAAAGTTGTGCGTACTAGATTGGTCAAAGAGACGAAGCTTAGGAGAGGAGTTTGTCATGTCTTGTCGCAGGAAATCACAAGCCCTTAATCTGCAGCCCGTCGTCAACAGTGGTGCACTAGACTTATAATCAAAAGCACGTGGGCATTGGATGATGCTCGTTCATTAATTTGCTCATCAGTTCACACATTCGGATGGTGTTATGATACTACCTCACCAGAAATTGTGTCTCCCGTGTATGCTCATCCTTTCGACATGAGATCATTCTTGCGCTCAAATGCTTTTCTCTCGTTCTTGTCGACACACTTTTGGTCTGCGCTGTGTTGTACCGACGAGTCACCTGTTGCATATTTTTTTCCGCTGCAGACACTGATGGACAATCGACGTCAGGTATCGGTCATATTATCATCAAGATGCGACAGCAAGTGCCAAACATTCAGTCCAGAATTTGGTGATGCAGTCTACATCAGAATCCATTGACCTATGGCTAGAAAGAAATTAACGCTCACTGCTGACGTACACTACAAAGTTTGAAGTTGAAGAGATGCCTATCTAGCTCGTAAAGCATTTGGTTCTGGGATCAAGCAGTTGTTGCAGAAAGCACAGATGCAGAGCATCAAGCCTCTATATTTGAAAGCTGCGTATTTGATTTGCGAAGAATGACCACCATGTTCTCACTAGCCACGTCAAACTCAGCAGTGGACGGATCGATATCGACTGGAAAGGCAGCAATAAGCATTTCATACACTTTCTTTTCACTGTCTGCAAATTGGAGGTGCAGTGAACTATCTGACGGAAAAGTGAGTTTCACGCTCGTCGAGTCGATGCCAGCAACACCAACGATATACGATAAGCACTCCAAAGTATCATGAGTCTCAAAATATGGCTTGATCGGTTTCAAGGCTTTGGATGCTAATTTAACAGGTGCCAACATATTTGAAGGTGACTTCATTTCTTCAGCGCGAGGCTCCAATGTATCAGTCTCCTCGTCGCCACAGCTCGTAAGCGGTGGCAAATTGTCCGAAATGTCGTCTTTGGTTGCAGCTAGCTCAGTCACTGCAGATCGCGGCGAACTAGTTACTGCTGTTGGAGAGAGTCGCTGAGCTTTGAGCGGATTGTTTACCACCACCTGAGGGTCTTTTGCCACCATTGATGTCGTCTTTTGGAGCATAAGCAAGCCCTCCTCGCCCTTCCTTGTTTGTTCTGTGGCAACCATCTTACTGCTTTCCGGCGTTCCCACTATATTTTGAGGTAATTCCTTGTTCTCT